TATATATATATATATATATATATATATATATATATGTATATATACTTTAACATAGTATTGGTGATTTACTATATTTCATCAAATCTAAGACACCATTCATGTTAATATATACCTGTATTTTATAAATCACTAAGCAATGAAAAAAATTGCTCCAAATTGTTTATTATGACATACTATTGACTGTAAGGTACATCCTTATTTCAGAGATGTTTAAAATGTCCAAAAATGTGCACTTTTAGACGAGATAAAATATAGTAGTAAAATGGAGATGTGTTTAGTATTATCACTCACACTCCCTTAACTTTGTACTCTCTGGCAATAAAATTTATAGATTTTCATTATGGATATTTAATATACAACCATTTTATAGAATTTCTGCCCATAAATATGCATATACATAATCATAAATATACTATATTATATATGTGTTATATATAAAGATATACATATCTAGATATTTACTATAGCACAGAAGCAACAAAAAGAAAATGAGTTTTGCTGGGATTGTGTTTATCTACCAAACTTGTGAATAAACAGTAAAACTATAATTCTAAATTAATGATATATAATATTGATAACAGTTTTCATTTAGCATTTTAGATTCACTTTTTATTATTTTTACTGCTTTCTGTGGTTACTAAAAAATCGTAAGTATAGATAGAAATGCTTCAAAACAAATTACAAATAGTAATAAATGGGCTTGTGTTCATTCTCAGTTTAGTTGGATGACTTTATTCAAGTCCCTGTGAATGAAAAATTCACCCCCAGCTCTAAACATTTAGGTTGAGAACAGAAATATTAACAGGTGTCATTTATTAATAACCAAATGGATATTAGCCAATCAGTAGACTTTGGCAGTATCAAAAACATTTTTCCTTCTCTGGATACTTCAAATAATCATTAGTCTCAATAATATTTATTAATTCCCCAGATGTATTTAAAGCAATAGTATATGAAGTGACCTTAAGTGAGCCTCACTCTTCCTGTTCTACAGGTGAGAAACCAAAGACCAGAGATGTTGAGTGACTTACCCCAAGTCACACAGCTAGTTAGAGGAAGGGCAGGGACCTAAATCCAAGTTTCCCTTTTCTGAGTCAGCACATTTCCTGTGACTCCACATAAGAAACGCCACTCTGAATCTGCCTCAGAAGTTGGCGCCTCGGACATTCATAGCACAAATTGAAACTTTAGGAAGACAAGAGAGGTTTTTGTTTTTTGGGTTTTTTTTTCCTGCATTTACTCAACCAGGAAAATACTAAATGCTCTCTTTGTGTAGAATATAATACTAGGTGATGTGAGGAAAAGAAATCCAGTGCCTTCCAGCATTTGGCACGTAGAAAGAGATAGATACATATTTGTGGAAAGGAAAAGGTAGTGGTTAAAACATGGATTTGAGTCTCAACTCTCCCATTTACTAATTACTGTGCATGACTTTGGTCAAATTATATGTCCTCCCTGAGACTTGTTTTCCACATCTGTAAATGTGGAGAATAAAACTACTTAAGAGAATTATTGTGAGAATTAAGTCAAATGTAAAAGTCCTGGCTCGTACAGGTGTCAAATAAATATCCACTTCCCCCCAAAATGTGACATTTTCCCTTGAAGAATTTATATTCGTAAAGTGACAAAATACACATACACACACACACACGATCAATCATTAAAAATGTAATACAGTAGATTATTAGGTGCCAAGTCTAATTAAAAGGAAAAAGAAAGAAAAAAGAACAGACTAGTTCTACCAGTAGTTTGCAGAGTAAAAGAAATCTCATTAATGATCAAAATGACTAAAGAAAAAAAAATTACTAGAAAAAAATGGGCAGTCAACATGTCTCCAGTTCTCATTTTCTTTACATCCCCTAATTATTATTTTGACTCATAATTAGATTGTTATCATAAGACTATATTCATTTAATATACTATATACTAGTCCACTGGTATAACTTTAGAAATCATTGTGTTTGCCTACTAATTTGTGAATTGCATGTGTTTTCATTGTGGTGATGACATGTGGTTACCGTTTCTACTCCTCCAAGAGTCTGTGGCAAAATCCCTATGAGTCTAAATATCATTACAACCAACATCTTTATACAACAAAAGATCTCCCTGCCCTGAACAAAGTCAGCCTATTTCAAATAGACATTAGATAAATCACAGTCAGTCTTTTGGGCAGTATCTTGTTATGGGACTTGACCTATATAAATACTTAAAAGTTTATTCTACATAAAATTTCTATAACTGCTCTATATTTCACTAGGAGTGTCAAGTTATAGAAATTTCGATGTAGATGGAAGTACTGTAAATGTTATATAGGTCTATCCCCATGCTTGGAAAGGAATCAGTAGTGCCTATAGAAATTTGGCTTTTTCTTCCTACTGAAACTTAATGTAGCCATGCAGATAGGGTCATGTGCAGCCACCATAGTAAGTATAGATATGTTCTGAATGAGTAAAGGAGACGCTACAGATGGCAGCCTTGACCTCACGTTCCAGTACAAAATAATGAATCCATCTCCTTGCAATTTGGGATTCAGTGAAGTGATGGAGAGGAAAGGAAGAAGGAAGAGGCAAGAGGTCATTGGTGTTTATATTAGGATTAAGGTCGTAGTAGAGCGGGGTGTATTTTGGTGTTTTAATGAGAAAAAAATGGTGAGGATGATTGGTTTTATGAATCTACCAACAAAACTGACTCAAGAAACACACTGAAAATGATGATCTTTATTACTGGCTTCCTCATATAAACAATCACCTCATTCATCTAGGTACATCTCAGTGTTTTATTTGTGCCTCTTGTTATCTATTTTAATCTAGTTTGATCTCTTTAAATCTTTTCACCAGTGTCAGGAGGACCCTTGCAATGTGTATGTAATTCTTCTTGGTTGAGGTACAAATTGAACACAATGTAGTATGGCGTAGTTTAACCATGTGGGGACTCAGGCTAGTGTGACAAAAATAGAGCAATAATAAACTGGATTAAGGAAAGACCCACAGAGAATATATACATATATACACACATACACATTTAAATTGCAATCCTCCAAGACTTCCTACAAAATATTTAAATGTTATATTTGAAATTTAGACTGCTTTCAGGCAGTGGTTATAGTAGATCAGGCAAATTATTACCAATATTTCAACTTCAGGACAATTTTCTTCAGCTTTTCAATTTCCCCATGTTAATAGAGGGTGTAATTACCATTTCAGTGAAATGAAGATGATAGTTGTGTCTTGAGTCTTTAAGAGGCACATTTTCCTAATGGTGTTACTAGTCCTTCCCACAAAGGTTACTGATGGACCAATGACCTCTCACTTCCTTCCATTTCCCAGATTTGCCTCAGCATCCTCTACTGAGCAAAAGACTTACACAACAATGGAAATTAGATATGCAGAAGTCATCCTTGCCTAATGCCACCCTAAACTCTATGTTCATATTTATATTCTCCTCCCCTTCCCTATGATTACAACCCAGTCTTTCCTCAAGAAATTCTGAAGCGGGTTGTAATTAATTGGACAATGCAAACATATGCAACTCATTATTTGCTAACATGATAGCATGAATCTGTTTTCACAGTGATGTTTAAGATGTGTTGACCGGTTTTCCTGGAAAAATCATATCCAAACCAGCATTATTCACAGTAAGCAGTCACTATAACATTTCCAAATTAACCTTAGTTGATAAAAAGAGTCAACTAAGCTTAAACAAAATTAGGACTACTTAGCTAGTGAAGGAAATCAATTTGAATTATATTTTGCATTTATACTAAGTCTCTTTCCCTAAAAGTGTTTATTCCTGAGTTTTGTTTCATTTTTTGGTTTTAAAATACAGACAAGTGTATGTACTTTAAATCATATATATGTGTGTATATATATTAGTTATATATGTTCTTTATATGTTCTTTTGACAGTGATCAAAATTTAGAGTCATAATTTTGATAATTACACTAAGAAATTACTTTCGCCTTGTTCATGGAACGCTTAATGACTTGCTTTACAGTTTCACATTTATATTTTCATGATTCATACCCAACCTGCTTCCAAAACAGTTCAAGACAATACTTTAAGATGAAATACGAGAGATTTCTGGATCTCATTCTCTTTTTCTACTCTAACAATTTAGAAAAAAAAAGTTTTCTCTTAAAAAGAATATGTATACACAAAAATCATATGAAAAACAACCAAACCAAAACAAAAAACAAACGCTTAGTCACAGTTTCAAATGTTTTTTGTATTAAAAAACAGCAAAAATGGTTAATGTACACATTTACTTACATGGTAGGGAAAATGCTATTTGCAAAATCCGAAGATTTGAAATGCTGGGTTTGTACCATCTCCACATAGAGCTAGGGTATGCACGCCAATGAAGGTAGAAAGAGAGCATTGTTCTTTCACAGACCAACACCTAAAATCTTCTAGTTCTTAATCCTTATTTCAATATCGATATCCTAGATGAAAACATTTCTTTTAAGTTCCTTAAAATCTCACCTCCTATTTAGACTAGCAAGTTGAAAATAAGTAAACATATCTTAAGGATATTTCCTTGTATCCTCCTCTCCCCCTAATATTGTGTTTTTAACTAGGAAAACGAGAGCGTTAATATAAGTGCACGTATCTGATCTTTGACAATCTGGAAGTTTCCCTGAGACTTCAGGCAAAGTACACTTGCCCCTCGGCTTTAAGGACTCAGGGTTTAAACAGAGCTTGTAGCACTGACCCGAAAAATCGGTACCATACTCCGACCTTCCTTTTCTTTAAGGACCAGTGGGCAGCTATTAAACTAGGCAATGGTTCTCCCCGGTTAGGGAGGTGAAACAGCAGGAGGAAGAACCTGAGATAGACGTGTGGGAGCTGCTGAAGAATGCGAAACCCAGCGAGTACGAGAAGATCGCCTTCCAGTATGGCATCACTGACCTGCGCGGGATGCTCAAGCGGCTCAAGCGCATGCGCAGAGTGGAGAAGAAGAGCGCAGGTGAGCACCCCTGGGGGAGATTAATCCTTCCTATTTCCTGCTGGGTTTGGGGACGGACTAGTTGGGGTGGGATTTGCAGGGGTTACTCTTCTCTTGGTTAACTTGACTTCAGGTGAAGTAGTTTACTGCCCCGCACATCATAGGCTAAGCGGGTAGCAGACAGCTGCTGAAGGTTTAAGGTAACAGAAGGTGCATTACAGTGACACATACAATGTATTATATAATGGAATATTAAACATTCCCGCTGTTACTGGCAATTTCTCAGCGGCCCCTTTCTCCAGCCTCTGCATCTCTCCCTCACTCTCAAATTCCTGATTCTTATTTAGGCAGAGTAGATTCTATGTTTCTTTGTTTTACTGTTATATTATTCCACCCATTTGATGAGGCATGGGGAATTCACTTCTCACACCCGATATGGTTACCCAAGTGTTTAAACATGCCCATATTTGGGCAAGTTTCCACAGTACAAAAACTTTGATAAGCCTACTATTTCAGTCAGTCAAAGGCATTCCATTTAAGCTCACGAGTCATCGAAAGTATCTCATAAATTATATGATAAAAAACTGTGACATAGATGTACACAGATAATGCCAATGATCCTGATAATAATCATATTAGGAGAATGAGCATGTTCTTCAAGTCCAAATTTCATTTGGATACTTCGTATCATACATTCCCTGAAGAATGAAGATAATCATTTTTGAAGCCTCTTCAGTAATTCTTGTTTCTTCCAAAAGCATGTGGATTCTCTTTACATTTTTAAACCATCTTATGGTTTATAAATTGATTCAGACTCCTAAAATATAAGGGATAATTTGGAAGGTTCCTAATTCTTTCTTCTTCAGTCTCAATTTTTTATTTAGCTTTAGGTTCTCATACATATATTGACTATTCAAATTCATAGCATATGCATGTGAACATAGTTTTGCTTCTTCTCTCTTACAGCTTTTGCAAAAATTCTCGATCCTGCATATCAGGTTGATAAAGGAGGCAGGGTAAGATTTGCTGTGGAACTGGCGGATCCAAAGTTGGAGGTGAAATGGTATAAAAATGGTCAAGAAATTCGACCCAGTACAAAGTAAGTGGAATTTGCGAATAATCAGTGATAACTATACAAATCAAAGAGTAATTTGACTTAATTTTCTATGCCTAAAAGCACTTTTTAGTTATACCTGTATGATACAAAATCATATAGAGGGACAGCAAAAACTTTTCATGTATTTTGGAACCATCAAAATTATAGTACTATATAAATTAAACCCTGTTTTATGTTTTAATTCTATACAAACTATTTCAAGTGATTCCTAACTATGGATTTGTGTCACTGTAGGTTATATGTGATTACTTCAGAGCATTGCCAAACTTCTCCCAGTTTTTTTATAATCAAATTTTGAAAAAAATTGAAATCTATATTTGATATACCAGCTGGGAATCACACCTTATAATTAGATAACTTGTTTTTCCAGCGTAGCATCTAAAGCCTGTGTTTTATTGTTTTTTGGCCCTTTCCCAAATGAAGGAAACAGACTAATCCCTGATACCTGATGGTATCGCTAGACTATTATGAAGCTACTTTACAGAGATCCTTCTCGGTCTGAGAGATTTTCAACTCCAATATATATTTTTTCACTTAACAGGAGCCACGTGCATATTTATAAAAGACTTTAATCCTGAATATCTGTCACTTCTGTGGTACAACTAGGTGGATTCCAATTTCTTAATGTGGTCATGCTCTCAGAGTGACTTTGTGATAATAATGTTTATATCTGGTAAAAATCTCTTGAAGGCAGCCTGAATTTACCAAAAACATAATTTTTTTTTTTTGTGGTACGCGGGCCTCTCCCCGCTATGGCCTCTCCCATTGCGGAGCACAGGCTCTGGACGCGCAGGCTCAGCGGCCATGGCTCACGGGCCTAGCCGCTCCGCGGCATGTGGGATCTTCCCGGACTGGGGTACGAACCCGTGTCCCCTGCATCGGCAGGCGGACTGTCAACCACTGCGCCACCAGGGAAACCCCAAAAACATAATTTTACTTGGTTATCTTTATCTAGAAAAATGTTGCTTAGTGTTTTGTTCTTGAAATCTTCAAGTTGAGAATTTCCCAAATGAGAACTTTTCTTTAGTTCTGTTATGATGCCCTGATATATCCATCCATAATCTAGGTCACAGATAATCAAATTTTGCAGTCTCCTTAGATTTCAGGTTTTTGTTTCCAAACACTCAACTTCTTTCTTAGTAGATGATATCTATGATATGATAACACTAGTTCTTAAGCTCATTTAAGAGAATCACATTCTATAGAATTTACCATCTATGTTAATGATTAAGTTCATATTATTGCTTAAATTGTATAATCATTTATTCACCCAATAAAATCTGTCTCACTGGGCTAGCAAGGAGTGAAATCAATGAATCAATGAAAAAGATCGTCTCTGTCCCTCAATAAAGTAGATGAATTGCTCATTTTTTAAAATGTACAGAGTTAAAAATCTTAGCCAACCCTGTTTTCCAACAATTGGTTCATTGGCAAATATGTGAGTACTGATTTATATTTGAAATGAAAAACATACATGAAAGAAAATGACAAATTAAATATTATGTGTAAATATGCATATGCGTTACATTACATGTTATAAAGATAGACATTGGTTTCATGTTTGATGTTTATTAAACTATGTAAGACATGGCTACATAAATTGCAGATCAAAATTACTATTTCTGACTTTCAAATATTACTGAATTATAAGCCAAATTTGCTGGCAATAAAGAAAAGAGTAAAATCAAGTTCACGGACTCTGTTTATCTTCCTTCTGTTTAAAACAGATACATCTTTGAACATAAAGGATGTGAAAGAATCATGTTTATCAATAACTGTGTGCTGACAGACGATTCAGAGTATTATGTGACAGCTGGTGATGAGAAATGCTCCACTGAGCTCTTTGTGAGAGGTAAAGTGAAATTTCTTACTGTAGCCATTAAGAGCCAGCAGCTCTCCTTCTCTCAGGGATAATCAAAATGGAAATGATGAAGTGAGCTTTTGAGCTCCAGAGCAGAGACGGCAGTACCTCTAGAGATGGTTTATCTTGGGTGTTAGATTGGCTCTGGATTAAAGCCTCTCTGTACTGCCAGTTATTGTGTATCCTAATTAATCGTCAGGTTCGTTGAAGACTAGAAAAGCCAAAGGGAGAAAAAAACTGAGTAAAAATGCCCTGTAGTTTTGGCTCAAGCAAGCAGTATTTTGCCATATAATTGTTCTCGTGATAACTTCTGAAACCCAATAAAGTCTACTGGATAACCATTTCACACACTCAGCTGATCACAAATAGATTTCTCTTGAAACAGCTTCATTAGTAAAGGGCATCAGTCGTTGGCACTGAGATCGCTGAAGACCATCATTTACTAAGACATTGTGAAAGAGCTGGAGGGTGTCAGTGAAGCCATGAATCACTTATTTTCTTTATGAGGACCTATGATTAAGGCAGCTCTGTAATCTTGAACATCAACTATACTTCAGTTAAAAAATTTTTTAAAAAGACAATTCTGCAATCTCTATCATCCGTCTAGAACCAGAAGTAGAGAATTTTAGTGTTATACGTTCTCCTTCCCCAGAAATGCCTACCATCTGGTATCTTATTTGCCAAAAGAAGGATATCTGATACAATTTGTCTGCTCTCTAAAACAATAATTTATTTGATTTGAAGAGTTCTTAGAAAATTGGAAAAACTTACCCAGGGTTGCCAGCTATTTATTTTGCCATGAAAAAATCATAAAAAACCTACCTACTACCTACCACCATCTAACCATGTCTCTATGATGGATGATACTTTCTTATTGTTGGTTTTTCATCTGTGAACAAACCCAGGGTCACAAGGCAGGTTTTTGGACATTTAATGATTCTGATTTTCGTTTTTTTCACACTAGAGCCTCCAGTTATAGTGACCAAACAGCTGGAAGATACAAAAGCGTACTGTGGGGACAGAGTGGAATTAGAATGTGAGGTGTCTGAAGATGATGCCCATGTAAAATGGTAAATAGCTTTCCTGAGGTCTGTCCTTTTTTTGGGGGGGGGTGCTGTGTTGGGTCTTCGTTGCTGCACACAGTCTTTCTCTAGTTGCGGCGAGCGGGGGCTACTCTTCATTGCGGTGCACGGGCTTCTCATGGTGGTGGCTTCTCTTGCTGAGGAGCACGGGCTCTAGGCACGCAGGCTTCAGTAGTTGTGGCGCACAGGCTTGGTTGCTCCGCGGCATGTGGGATCTTCCTGGACCAGGGTTCGGACCCATGTCCCCCGCGTTGGCAGGCGGATTCTTAACCACTGTGCCGCCAGGGAAGTCCCTGTCCATTTTTAGTAGACAAAAAAAGTACCTTCATAGTTTGGAGAACAGGAAATTGCATTTACAGATATGAAAAGGATCTCAACCTCATTCGTGTTAGAAGTTTTAACTAAAACTATACTAAGATACTGGGTGTTTTTTTCACCTGTGAAACAGAAAACTGAAAAAAGATCTAGAAATCTATATTGGTAAGGATATAGGGAAATAGACACTTACTAATAAATGGATGGGTCAAGGTTCTCCAGGTCTATTTGACTCCAAAGCCCATGGGTGCTCTATACCATGCTTACTCTCACTATGCCATACTGGCAAGTTACATTGAAAATATACTTATTTTCAAAAAAAAAAAAAGAAAAAGAAAATATACTTTTTTCATGTTATTCCTAGTAACTTTATTGTTAAGTATCTCAGAAAAATACTTTAGACTGAGAATTACCAATTACTTTAACAGTTCTTAAAAATAAAAAGCATAGTTTTGGGGCCAGATGGGAAGTGTTTTCTCAAGTTCTCTGTGAGTAACCTCAAAATTAAAGACTAGACGATTCGGAGTCTTAAAATCTTAATTGAGAAACAGAGTAAATTATGCAGCAGGAATCTCTAGTAATTGGTACAGGATAGATTGTTCATTCTAATCTAGAATCACAACTGTCTTTAAAGTGTATTAAAATGATATTCTTACTAGTGTGTGTCAAGAGCCCAATGTAGGTAATATCCATTGTTAGCATCTTTATCTGATTGATCTTAAATGGAAAGAGTGGGCTTATGTTTTTAATGTCATTTTTCAGACAATACTTGTTACAATATTAATCTATTGATACATTGATCCATACATTCTTTAATTCAACAAAAAGGTCTTGAGTGTCTGGTATCTGTCTCCTGAAGGGTCTTTTATAAAACTTTTTTTTATAATCTATTTTAACTCAGGTTTAAGAATGGTGAGGAAATCGTCCCTGGTCCAAGATCAAGACACTACATTAAAGTTGAAGGCAAAAAACACATTTTGGTCATAGAAGAAGCAACAAAGGCTGATACTGCAGAATATTCTGTAATGACAACAGGAGGACAGTCATCTGCTAAACTTACCGTTGACTGTAAGTAAGACTTCCTTGGATGTCTTCCAAGCTGTTTTACTAGTGTCTTGTGTTTGTTAATTCAGTTTTAGGAGAGTTTCAATCTATTTGGCTTGTACTTGTGGCAATTTTAAATATGTAAAATTAGATTCCATTCCAGCTGAGTGTCTACGTCATATCAGTCAGGGACTCTAAGAACTTACTTCTCAGTTTAATAGTAGAATACCAATATTGGGAAGGAAGTATAAAAATCAGCTGCCAGAGAAGTTACCCAAATGGTTAAGAAATATTTCAGTCCCCAAACCATATAAATACATGATAAATACTTAGATATGATATCAAATCCTGATATCCTGTTTGCTTAATCCTTTGGTGACCTTTGGTTTGGTGAATTTGCTATCTCTTCAATAAACATTCAACATTCTTCAATTACATTTGGGCTGAGAAGTTGCTCAAACTAATGGGTCTCAATTGAGAAGACTAAGCTAATTTGCCGATATGCTTTTTTTTTTTCCACTTTTTTTTTTTTGCGGGTACGCGGGCCTTTCACTGTTGTGGTCTCTCCCGTTGTGGAGCACAGGCTCCGGACACACAGGCTCAGTGGCCATGGCTCACGGGCCCAGCCACTCCACAGCATGTGGGATCTTCCCGGACTGGGGCACGAACCCGTGTCCCCTGCATCGGCAGGCGGACTCCCAACCACTGCGCCACCAGGGAAGCCCGCTTTATTTTTTTTAAACAATTTTTTAAAAGATTTTTTTAAGTCGTTATTGAATTTGTTACAATATTGCTTCTGTTTTTTATGTTTTGGTTTTTTGGCTGTGAGACATGTAGGATCTTAGCTCCCCAACCAGGGATCGAACCTGCACCCCTTGCATTGGAAGGCAAAGTCTTAACCACTGGACCACCAGGGAAGTCCCCCGATATGCTTTAGAGGCGTGAAAGAATTCATGTCCTTTTCCAAATGCCCCCTAGTGGTAGTCAGCTCTTAATGGCAGAGTCTGTCCCTTCCAGTTAGCCATGAAAATTAGAATAGCGAACTTCACAAGAAGATCGGTAATACATGCAGAGCAGAAACTCTGCTTCCTTATTTCTTTCTAAGTCCAGGTGCAATTCATATGATTATTGAATTATTTGGAAGTAATCGCAATACACTGCTTATGTTTTGTGGAATGATGGCCATTGTAGTGTAATATCAAAAAGTTTTTTCAACCATAGGCAGCTCCTTATCTGTTTAAAGCAATTACGGTCAGTCCTGCTGTAATGTAACATATGCATTTCTAAAAATTACTGTGCTGTACAAAGTCATGCAATAAAAATCATAGAGCTAATGGGGAAAGTGGGGTTAAGAACACAACACTCAACAATTTTGTCAGGGACACATTTTTTAAAAAATAAAATGATAAGTTATAAGAAAAAAACAGTAGTACAGTTTTACAGATGTTAAATGGTTAATAAATACTACAATAAATACGGCACTTTACCTTGAAAAAGACCTGAAATTTGCTTGTGGAAGTGGTGTCAGAAGTGTTGCAGTTTGTGAGCTATTGTGAAGTAGTGGAAGGAGGTTATTTGAAATTGGATGGAGAGCTGTCATCTCAGATGTGCACGGATGTGGCGCATTTAACATGGGTGAACTAAAGCAGCTGGTGGATGTTTGAGGCGTACGTGTGTGCTCTGTGCGGTCCTACCTGATTCAGTTCAGCTGGGTGCCGTTTTCTGGATTCACCTAGTCTTTCTCATGAATAAAATCATGCTTAATCGAACGTGAAATGTGTGTTATGCTCTGTCCCCAAATATTTCAACTGCATTGAACAAATTCTCATTTTCAAAACAAGCATTATAGTGAAACTGTACCATTGTGAAATGACACCGTCTTGGCCTGTCTGGAATTTAGATTTGGCACTTAATAACCATCTATTATTTCTGCAGTAAAACCTCTGAAGATATTGACGCCTCTGACTGATCAGACTGTAAATCTTGGAAAAGAAATCTGCTTGAAGTGTGAGATATCTGAAAACTTATCAGGAAAATGGACTAAAAATGGCCTCCCCATTCAGGAGACTGACCGTCTAAAGATTGTTCACAGGGGAAGGTAAGTAAGCTAGGGTGGTCCCCAAGTGAGGGCTGGTCCCCATCTTCACTTCTTCTGCTTCCTAAATTACATGATTGGTAAGGATGTTTGGGGAGTACTCATAGGGAGAGGCTCTATTTCCGGTTCTTTGCTTTCAAATAGCAAGAATATGTGATTCCTCTGTTGTACATCATGTCCTACCTGTGATCCTGTACCTGTACCTTACAGTGAGGTGCTGTGTTACTTCAAAACCCATTGACGGAGTCTTTCCATATAAACATGAGCTTAGAGGATACTGAATTCTAGTTCAGGAACTGGTTGAATTGGATTCACTGTCCCTAACCAATAAGTGTCATGTGACCTTTCCACAATTTTTTTTGCTGAGGCGGGGGGACGGTTTGCATAATATCCTAGAATCTAGCAAAGATGTAGGAGAAGAGTTCTTAAACTAGGATCCATGGATTTTTAGGAGACTGTGAATGAACTTCAGGGGCCCCCATAAATCCTTTGAAATTGTAAGCAAATTCTGTGTGTACAAAAATACTTGTTTTTCTAGATTGAGGAGCCGTAGTGTCCATCAGATATTCACTGGCTCATGCTGCCAATAAAGTTAAGAACTATTGCTCTTATGCCAATACTTTATAATAACTATAAATGGAGCATAACCTTTAAAAATTGTGAATCACTATGTTGTATACATGAAATATATAATAATGTATGTCAACTAGACCTCAACTTTTTTTAAAAAAAGAACTGTTGCTCTTAGGTTTGCATAAAAAGCCAAAGTCAAGTTATTCTTGGTAATTTCTTGAATCTTAAAATATGGCATCAGTGAGGTGTTATCGTCTATCCTTTTTTAAGCTATGAGATTTTAAAAAGGAACAAGAGATTCTTGCATAGTAAGCAGGCTGTATTTGTAGAGATAGTTTATATAGCCCAAAATAAATACTGAATGTGAATCAATAAATAGGATAATTAAGGCATCACATTATTCTCAGTCTCTCTCCAGGCTGCACTAAACAAGTTAAGATAAAACCAGGTGTCTCCTCAGTTTGGGTCCTACACAGTCTAAATCTTTGCAAAGTCTTAGAAATATGTTTTTTCATTTCCTTAGAATCCACAAATTAGTGATAGCCAATGCTCTCGTTGAGGACGAAGGTGATTATGTATTTGCACCAGATGCCTACTCGGTTACTTTGCCTGCCAAAGTTCATGTTATTGGTGAGTAGATAAAAGAGATCATTGCAGAGTTGTGTTCTTGTTTTTCTGGTTTTGCTTACCTTGGAATTATATTCAAAATGTGATATTTAAAGAAAAATACATGAATTGGTAGGAATCACTAATCATAATAGTTGATTCTTAAGAGGTCTTAACAATGAAGTAGTTTTGCAAGGTACCAGGCATCAACTACTTTGACTCCGCTTATATCCTTTTTGACTGGATAAAATATTGGTTACTACCAATGTTTAACACTACCCAAGTACTAACCCAGATAATCACATGGAAATAACCGTCTGATAACAAAGGCCACGGTTAATATTCCAGATCCTCCGAAGATCATACTGGATGGTCTTGATGCTGACAATACAGTGACAGTAATTGCAGGAAACAAGCTTCGTCTAGAGATTCCCATCAGTGGAGAACCACCTCCTAAAGCCATTTGGAGCCGAGCAGATAAGGTTTGTTCTATACACACACACACACACACACACACACAAACACACACACAGCCTACCCTACTCCCTGTCTCCCGTGAGTCACATGAAAGAAGGCAGCAAATAAATGTACAGTAAAGATGTAACTCCTTTAATAAAGAAAGATTACTGATTTTCAGGCAAATATAATAACTATTCATTTGCTTTTCATATTTCTGACTACCTACTATGTGACCCTGTGCATATGCATATGAATGTTATTATGTGCAGTGAATGAGGTTCTACCTTTCCTTCTAATGGGTGTCAGGGAATGGGGTGGAAGAGAAATAGACAATGAATTATTAAATAAATAAATAAACAAAGTCACTTTGGATAGTAATGAGTGCTACGAAAATTAAAAAAAACAAAACAAAACAGGGTGGGACTTCTCTGGTGCTGCAGTGGTTTAAAATCCGCCTACCAATGCAGGGGACACGGGTTCGATCCCTGGTCCAGGAAGATTCCACATGCCACAGAGCAACTAAGCCCATGTGCCACAACTACTGAGCCTGTGCTCTAGAGCCCGCAAGCCACAACTACTGAGCCTGCATGCCACAGCTACTGAAGCCTGTGCGCCTAGAGCCTGTGCTCAACAAGAGAAGCCACCACAATGAGAAGCCCGTGCACCGCAAGGAAGAGTAACCCCCTCTCTTCGCAACTAGAGAAAGCCTGCGCACAGCAACGAAAACCCAATGCAGCCAAAAATAAAATAATTATTTAACAACAACAAAACAGGGTAATATGATTAATAAGTGACTGCATGGGGCATGAGAACAGCCTCTATGAATGACAACAAGAAACCATTTTGAGAAGATCAAAGCAAAGAGATTTCCAGTTGATGTCAATGCAAGTGCAAAGAACAAGAGGAGAGAATGCACTTAATGTGTTGGAGGAATACAAAGAAGGCCAGTGTGGCCAAGGCAGCGTGAGTGAGGAGGAGAATAATAAATAAGATTGGAGTGGTAGAGTAGAGCCGGCTCAGGTGTGACTCTGCAACTTCCTATATAAAATGTTTTAGGCGCAGTAAAACTGTTCCATATGATACTAAAATTATGGATACATGTCATAGGTTTGTCAAAACCCATAAAATGTACAACACCAAGAGTGAACCCTGATGTAAACTATGGACTTTCAAAGATAACAATGTGTCAATGTAGGTTCATTAATTATAACAAGTGTACCCACTCTAGTGGGGGATGTCAGTAGTGGGGAAAGTTATGTGTGTGTGGAGACAGGGGTCATATGAGAACTCTTTGTACTTTTTCCATTCAATTTTTCAGGGAACTCAAAGCTGCTCTAAAAAATAATTTGTTTTTTTTTTTAAATGTTGGAGAGTGTTTCCTCCTTTTCCATTTTCTGGAGAAAAAAAAAGCTTTATTGAGCTATGGGACAACTTCAAGCAGTCAAATCTATGTGTAATTGGAGTCCCCAAAGAGGGGGACATAAAAATATATAGAGAAAAAATGGCCCCAAATTTTCCAAATTTGATAAAAACTAGAAAATCTCAGATACAAGAAGCTCAATAAAATCCAAGCACAAGGAACATTAAGACATCTACACCAAAAAAAAAAGACATCTACACCAAGACCCATCATAATCAAACTGCTCAAAACCTGTGGTTAAGAAAAAATCTTAAAAGTAGTCAGAGGGCTTCCCTGGTGGCGCAGTGGTTGAGAGTCCACCTGCCGATGCAGAGGATGCTGGTTCGTGCCCCGGTCCAGGAAGATCCCACATGCCGCGGAGCGGCTGGGCCCGTGAGCCATGGCCGCTGAGCCTGTGCGTCTGGAGCCTGTGCTCTGCAACGGGAGAGGCCACAACAGTGAGAGGCCCGCGTACCGCAAAAAAAAAAAAAAAAAAAAAAAGTAGTTAGAGAAAAAGTCACATTAAACCCGTGGGAACAAAGACAAAGATGACAGCTGATCTCTCTGGAAACAAAGCAAGTGAGAAGACAGTGGAGCAACGTTTAAAGGGGGAAAAACTGTCAACCTAGAATTCTATACTCAGTAGAAATAATTATCAGAAATGAAGGCAAAATAAAATTTTTTATATACAAAAGCTGAAAGAAGTCATCTCCAGCAGATTTGCACTACAAAAAATGTTAAAAGAAGTCCTAAAGTCAAAAGGAAATGATACTAAGATGAAAACATTTTCACAAAGGAGCTATCAATAAGTGGGTCAGAAATAATAACTACATGGATAAATGTATAAAATATTTTTTCTTATTATTTAAATCTCCTTAAAAAGATACTTGGTTGTTTAAACAAAAATAATAACAATGCGCCATGGCCTTCAAACATAAGTGTGAGTAAAATTTGTAACAATGAAAACATAAGGCCAAGAGGGGAGAAAGGAAGTAAGGATTGAAAGGAGTGAAATGGATGTATGCTATTGTAAGTTTCTTTTGCTAAATGTAAAGTATCATAATACCACGTGAAGGTAGACTATACTATAAACCCTAAAGGAACCACTAAAATAATAAAACAAAGAGTTACAGCTAATAGGCCAACACAGGATGTAAAATGGAGCCACAAAAACGTATCTAATGAATCCAAAAGGAGGCAGCAAAAGAGACACAAAGGACAGATGGGACAAATAGAAAACAATTAGCAAGATGATAGAACTACAAAGAAAAATAGGTAAGTTAGAGACTTTACTGCTTTTCTCAATAGCTGATAGAACAAAATGTACAAGTTTTGAGAAATACTATCAACCATCTTGATGTAGTTGACATTTATAGAACACTCCATTGAACAAAGTAGACTGGGCATTATTTTAAGATGCACGTGGAAGATTTACCAAAATAGACCATAAATAAGTCTCAGTAAATGTGAAAGGATTCAGGTCATGCAAGATATATTCTCTGACCACAGTGGAATTAATTAGAAAACAATAACAGAAAGATTTGGAAAATTTCCAAATATTTAGAAACTAAGTAGCTTTTTAAAAAAGTAACACATGGATCAAAGAAGAAATTACAAGGGAAATTAGAAAATATTTATGAACACAACACATATCAGAATTTGCAAAATAGCACTAAATCAGTACTGAATAGCCCTATATCTATGAAAGAAATGAAATTTGTAGTTTAAAATCTTTTCACAAAACAAATTCCACATCTAGATGGCTTTATTGGTTAGTTCCACCAAACATTTAAGAAAGAAATAATACAGATTCAATGCAAACTCATCCAGAAAATTGAAGAAGAGAAGATAGGAATACTTCCCAACACATTCTTTTTTTTTTTTTTTTTGCGGTACGTGGGCCTCTCACTGCTGTGGCCTCTCCCATTGCGGAGTACAGGCTCCGGACGTGCAGGCTCAGCGGCCATGGCTCACGGGCCTAGCTGTTCCGCGGCATGTGGGATCTTCCCGGACCGGGGCACGAACCCATGTCCCCTGCATTGGCAGGCGGACTCTCAACCACTGCGTCACTAGGGAAGCCCCCCCAACACATTCTTGAAGGCCAGTATTACCCTTATAGCAAAACCAGAAAAAGACATTACAAGAAGGGAAAACTACAAATCAATATCACTCCTGAACAGAGATGAAAAAATTCTAAACAGAATTTAGCAAATCAAATCTAAAAATACATAAAAGGAACAGTACATTATATCCAGGTGGGACTTATCCCAGGAATGCAAAGGTAGGTTTAACATTTTCAAATAAGTTAATATAATTCAGCATATTAACAAACCAGAGAAAAAATGTGGTCATCTCGATAGACACAGAAAAGCATTTGACAGAATCCAACATCCATTCCTAGTAAAAATCTCTCAGCAAACTTGGAAGTGAAAGGAACTTCCTCAGCATAATAAAAGACATCCATAAAAATGCTACAACTATAATCCTACTTAATAGTGAAAGGTTGAATTCTTTCCCTTTAAGATCAGAAAGAAGAGAGAAAAGATGTTCACTCTCACCACTTGTGTTCAACATTGTACTGGAGGTTCTACCCAGGGCGATCAAGCAAGAAAGAGAAGTAAAAGACATCCATTTTGGAAAGGAAGAAGTAGAACTGTCTTTATTTGCAGATGACATAATCATCGATGTAGAAAATCCAATGTAATCTGCAAAAAAAATCTACTAGAACAAATGGTCATAGTAGCCTTATTTGTAATATTCAAAAGCTGAAAACAATGCAAATTCCATCAGTGGGTGAATGGATAAACAAATTGTAAGAAATTCATACAAGGGAGTACTGCAATAACTTGGATGACTCTCAAAATAATTATGCTGTGTGAAAGAAGATGGAACAAAAAACAAAGAGTGTTTTTTAAAAGCCATTAAAAAAAAACCTGACAGTACCAAATGCTGGCAAGGATATGGAACAATTAAACTCATACATTGCTGGTGGGAATGCAAAATGGTACATCCACTTTGGAAAACAGTTTGGTAGTTTTTTATAAAGTTAAGCATGAGCTTACCATAAAACTCCCCAAGGCTATTCCTAGGTATTTACCCAAAAGAAATGAAACACATGCCCACACAAAAACTCGTATAGGAATGTTCATGGCAGACTTATTTATAATTGTCAAAACCTGGAAATGACTCAAAAGTCCAATTGTACAAACATATTCCAACTGCACGTGGAATATACAATGGAAAACTACTCAACAATGAAAAGGAACGTACTAGTAATACAAGCAGCAACATGGATCAGTCTAAAAATATGCACTTGGAAGACTACATACTGTTTGATTCCATTTATATGGCATTCTGGAAAAGGGGAAACCAAAGGGGCAAATAACAGACCAGTGGGTGCCAGGGACCAGGATGTGGGGTTAGTGGGTTGCATGCCAAGGAGCATGGAGACACTGTGAGATGTGATGGAAACAGTCTGTAGCTTGATTATGGGGGTGGTTACACACTCACATAAATTTGTCAAAATTCATAGATTATATATCTAAAACTATGAATTTTACTTGATGTAAATTATAGCATAAGAAACAAAATAAAACATAGAAATATGAAGAGGATAATATAATACCACCCTAAGTAAGTTATTTTTCTTTTCAAGCAGAACATCTTTTACAATCTTAAGATTAGAATTTGGCTAAACTGAGGAAATTTTTTTCTATTATAAAATGAGAATTATGAAAGCCATTTCAAGTATTCTTACCGTTGCCACAATCTTATGTTATTGAAGACTTACAAGTCCTAATCCAGACACAAAAGAGTAGAGTTGATAACAGTGGCAAATTACCCTCTTTCTAAATTGCTTTGACCTTTCTCTGTTTTTCCTCTTTGTATATTGGCTGTCTATTATTGCATGGAAGATATGACCTGGGAATCAGAAAAATGTAATGCTGCTTTAAACTTCTGGTGTAAGGAAGAAGGAAGGCGAGAAATGAAGGAAAATAAGAAGGGGAAAAGGAGAAGGAGAAGAAGGAGAAAAGAAAGAAAATATAATAGAAGTCTCAACCTCACTCTGTCTTTACTTTGGGAATTAGATGTTCATTCTTTCATGTCTACTGGAAGGGAAAACTCAGTACTCAACTTGTATGGGAAATTGGCACTGTGGCCTTCTTCAACCCTTTTCAGTATTTTTAAATTTCCGAGACATCTAAAGAAATGAACAAATCATTATTTAGTTTCTGATATGAGTTTAAGTATTTCTAATTTCATGTACAAAGAAACTCTTCTCCTAGAATGACACTTCTGCGCTTGTATTTTTGCTCCTCCCAACTTTCTCTTTAAGGAGTTAATGGGTAGTGAACTCTGGAGTCAAATCCCTGTTCTACCACTTCTTAGCCGTGTAACCTCGGGCCACAGTTCTTCCCATGTGTAAAATGGGATGACAATACTTTTGTCCTTAGAGCTGGTGGAGGATTAAACTAAGAACACATATTTCAGGCATTAGCACCATGTCCAGCTTAAGTGCCCAGGCACTCTGGAGGTGTCCTTGTTGTTTGCATAGGTCATGCCACATTGTATTTCTTTCCTCTGTAGGCTATTATGGAGGGCGGTAGCCGAATAAGAACTGAAAATTACCCTGACAGCACCACTCTGGTTATTGATGTAGCAGAAAAAGATGATTCTGGTCTTTACCACATAAATCTGAAAAATGAAGCTGGGGAAGCCCATGCAGCCATCACGATTAAAGTTGTGGGTAAGGCCTCTGAGTCAGCAGACTTCTAGAATCAGGCTGACATGTCTAGATCCAAAGTAGACTTTGCAAGTTCTTGGTTCTCTCAGCTTTTCTGGGTAGCCAACAAAGAAGCACACGGTATAGCTGTATTTTATAAATCACTGCCTTTCTTTTTTTATCTTTGCCACTTCTTTATATGTCTTTCTTTCTCTTTTCTTTCCTTTTTCTTCCTTTTCCTTTCCTTTCCTCTCTTGTCTCTTTACTTGCCTAGAGGACTAGTTGCGGTGAGGAGTAGCTAAGGTTAGCCTTTTGGGGTTGCTGTCATTAGCTGTCCACAGTCACACTCCCTTTCAGTGCCCTCTACAGTCACTGACACACAATTGCTAAATAATTTCCAACATCACACTCACTGTAGAGGAGTAAGATCTGCCTTGGTTCTTAGATGACCATTTAAGTCCATTTTTCCTGATCCTGAAATCAAGTGAACTGAGTATGGCAGATTACTGGTGGTCCGAGGTCTCATGATCTCTTCATCCCACTTTAGCTTTCCCTCAAGAAACATATTACTTTTTTTTCTTTTCTCTCTCTCTTTTTTTTTGGCCATGCCATGGGGCATGCGGGATCTTAGTTCCCCTACCAGGGATCGAACCCGTACCTGCAGCAGAAGTGCAACGTCCTAACCACTGGACCACCAGGGAATTCCCAAGAAACATATTTCAAATTGATCCAAAACTAAGGTCACTTTGTTATGTACTGAACTCTATTTATAAGACATGGTAACTTGCCATTTTTGACTTGGATTTCTACCAGTCAACATCTTATACAACAACTGATGTAAAATGTGCAGTAATTAGTCCTTGATTCAGTTCTGCTGCAAGGTCACTTCTGTGGTTAAAAAACAAAAAAACAAAATCACGTCCAACATTTAGGCAATAATTTCTTAGTCGCCATTTTCAAGGTAAATAACAAAAGTCTTGCGTTTCATACGGTTCTGTAATGTGACACTAGTTTAAAGGATTTGGAGACATCATTATTTTATTTGTATCGGGCTCACCTTCCCTGATTCCATATGGAGCGTGAAGTTGCACCCAAATTAGTTACCCAGTGCACTTCAATAAACATGGAAAAATAATAAGAAATAACCTTGCTTCTATGATTATCATCCAAAAACATATTTTCCAATGAACATTCTTCTTTGTGCTCTCACTCCCTCAATTTTATTTTATTTTATTCTATTACATTTTTTGTTTGCTACAGATGTCCCTGATCCTCCAGTGGCGCCGAATGTGACACACGTGGGAGATGAGTGGTGCATCATGAACTGGGACCCTCCTCTCTATGATGGAGGGTCCCCAATCTTAGGTAACTGCGTGTTGGTCCATCTGTGGACCTGCCAGCGGAGTTGGTGTCCTCTTTATGCACATTAGTACAAAGCACATTTTAAAATACTGCATTTAGAAGAAAACTTTTAAATATCCATTCACATTGAAATATATTGGGGGATGCTTTATAAGTACTTGAGATTTAAATAGCTCTGATGAATATCATCTGATTGCCTGTCCTCTTTTTTTGTTTGACGTTTCTGTTCAATATATAATTTTGAAACAACTATAAGTCTAACTTTATTCTGGTCAGTAAATGCCTAGATCCATAGAATTATGTCTATGAGGCAATTTCTTCTAGAGTTAAATACTTAGAAGAATTTGCTTCCCCTGTGGAACAGGAACTTTCTTCTACTTGCTAATAATGAAACTCACAAAACTGGTTATTTCCCCCTTCTTACATTGCTGGGACTCAAAGCCACATCTGTTGCTCAAATAGAGTGACTATGTAAGTTTCTATGGCCTACATATCTGTGGTTTATTTTTTCTCTTCTCTTCCTAGTACAATTTTAATTTTTTCTAGTCTTATTATTTTTATCTATATCCCATGATGTTAATATTTGTATTATTTATAATCTCTCTCAAGAAAACCAATGGAATAAGATGGGTTAAAAATACATATATGACTATTTCACTTAGAGTGCTGAGAATATGGGAAATTTTTGAACATTCTAATATCTGACAAAGTTTAATTTTGGAGACCAAGGAAAAACTTCAGTTTCCATTTTGCGTCCCCTTCAGGTTACTTCATTGAGAGGAAAAAGAAGCAAAGCTCCAGGTGGATGAGGCTGAATTTTGATCTCTGCAAAGAAACAACCTTTGAGCCCAAGAATATGATTGAAGGTGTGGCCTACGAGGTCCGCATCTTTGCCGTCAATGCCGTTGGCCTCTCCAAGCCCAGTATGCCCTCCAAACCTTTTGTTCCATTGGGTGAGTCAAGAGAGGTGTGTCTTTGTCATGAAAATCGTTGCCCCAGATTGTGACTGCTTCCTTCTGACCTCTAACTGGAGCAGACCTGGAAGCTTCTTAGAGTGATACAGGAGTAGGAGACTAGAGGTGGTTAGGGGCAATTTTCTAAGAAATTACAAGCAACACAATAGAGTTGAATGCCTTCATAATGTAGGCCCTGGAATTTATTACCAGAATCCCAAGGACAGCTGTGGGTGGCTCTGTTTGCCCCTTCCCACTGGAAACATGTAGCTGGGCCCATTGACACAAGACTACCCCCATTTGTCCTTCTGAAAGTATAACCCAGCACCCTGGTGTAAACACTATAACTAAAACAAATTGACATCAATTCAACCAAGCACACTTGAAAGCTAGTCTCTTTGCTTTATAGTCACACTTTAAATGTTATCTATTGAACCAAAAATGTCAGTTCAGTAAAGGCAAAGAAAGAGAAGACAAGACGTCTCCACTATTTTCTGGTAGTGAGTAGATTTTTCAATAGAAATATTTAGTACAAGAGTTTGCACTTTAAAATTAGAAAGTTATGGAAAATTTACTCTAGATCATTAGATCTCAAATTTTGACTTTTTCAACTTCCTGGGCCTCCCAGACTCCCATGTCAACCTCCCAAATGGAGGGAAATGTGGCAGCGTTGATAAAAAAATTTTCACATCTGGCAGATCTTTCCCATAAACACAGCATATGCTCGAGGAGTCTCATTGAATTTTATTAACACGTGGGGGCTTCTATGTATATTTTTTATTATTTATTTATTTACTTACTTATTTTTAGCTGTGTTGGGTCTTCGTCGCTGCGCCTGGGCTTTCTCTAGTTGTGGCGAGCAGGGGCTACTCTTCATTGCAGTGCACGAGCTTCTCATTGTGGTGGCTTCTCTTGTTGCAGAGCACGGGCTCTAGGCGTGTGGGCTTCAGTAGTTGTGGCTCGCGGGCTCTAGAGCGCAGGCTCAGTAGTTGTGGCTCACGGGCTTAGCTGCTCAGCGGCATGTGGGATCTTCCCGGACCAGGGCTTGAACCCATGTCCCCTGCATTGGCAGGCGTATTCTTAATCACTGTGCCACCAGGGAAGTCCCTGTGTGTATTTTTATTTGTATCCTAGTTCATTTTATCACAGTTCCTGTGCCATAATTCTGTACTTAATAATTTCTTCTTTTTCTGTCTCTTTTATCTCTGAAGCTGTAACCAGCCCACCTACTCTTCTGACTGTTGACTCTGTAACTGACACCACTGTCACAATGAAGTGGCGGCCCCCCGACCAGATTGGTGCAGCAGGTTTAGATGGCTATGTGCTAGAGTATTGCTTTGAAGGAAGTAAGTAACTAGTAGTTCAAACGAATACCGTCATCAATAGGTGAGATATGCCCCCCTTTTGTTGCTCTTTCTTGGGAACTCATCTCCTTCCTACTGAAAATGACAGCAAGCCAAAGGTCACCTTCTATGATGGATGAGAATTTAGCCCTTCTTTGTTACTTGACTAACAAATTGAGCTCTCAAAAATATCCCAGGTAGGCTCCCAGATCCGACAACACGAGTGATCTAGGACATAGGAGGAGAGATTCTGATCAAACGTCAGGGATTCCCACTTCTTGAATTGGTGGAATTAAAATGTACCAAAGCAAAATAAAGTTCTAGGTAGGATAAAGCAAGTTGGAAATTCTAAACTCTATACTGAGCAGAGGTCAGCTATCAACAGAGCTGCCTAATTCTGGGTAATAAAGAGAGATTATATACTTGACCATCTGGTGATCAATTCTGCCTTCTTAAAGGGAAAAAAAAGAATAATTAAGGACAACTTTCAGTGTTTAAAAGAATCAGCATTAAATCCCAGAGGGTGTAAGAAATAGATTCAACATTGTGGCAGTAACTTGTCTCAGGATATGGGTGCATAAAAATTTAATGGCTTAAATTTAGGAGGGGAAGAGAAATAGGCAAAAAACCCTTGTTGATAGAAATAATAGAAAAAGAGAAAATGACACAAGAAAATATAGGCCAGAGTGTACCTAAAACCAAAAAAAGATGTGAAATTCACTAAAAGCTTCTTGTGTTTTTGATTTCATACTTGTCACGATTTGGAGATGGGTGAATAAAATTGCCCCAGCTCTGGACTCGGGCTGCATTCTAGGTCATGGTAGGGAAACAATCCACCAGGGAAGTTTGTTCCTTCTCCACAAATGAGAGGCCCAGACTTGGTCTCTAACTCTAAGAAAACTCTTCGGACCCCAAACTTTAACATGGATCTTACGTGAAGGAAAGAGAGACTCCAGAGCGCATTTGGGAAACCAGGAGTGTGAACACTTCCCCAGAAGGAAAACCTCTATGGAGAAGAAATTTCTAACTTTGAAGAGAAAACTGCTGAAGAAGAAGCCCCAGGCTTCTGGACGGGGGCACGCGTGGAAATAACGCATGTTGGTCGGGAGAGGAGAGAGAAAGGGAGAATAAAGCATCTTGGTAACACTCAGTTCCGTTCACATGCACTCACTCACAGAACACTATTGTTGATTTTTCCAGGGCTTAGACAGCCACTAACCAAAACCAGTGGAGACATTATAATCTTGAGTGCTTTGGAGTATGATTTATTCCCATTCCATTCCCCTCCCCCAATTTGAAAAACTCCCAAGCCCTCCTCTCTGTTATTTATACCGCCCAGCTAACAGAACTTTTCAATCTTCTGTGTGATGAATACAAAGCTTTTGTGTATGTATGAAACAGAGCAAATTGTTTACTCTTTTCTTTCTGATAGGTTTAAAAAGTAAGAAGATACAGCAAAATGATAGATGGCTGTCATTTTGATATTACCCACCTTAGATAAAATGCAATGAAGTGTATTTTACATAATTCTGTGTGTTGTCTGTGTAGATATATATGTATACTTGCATATACATATATATATGTACACAGTCATTATTATGTATATATTTTGCCACGTAACGTTTTGGAATTAGCTTTCTATGGAAGTTTTTTTATAACGTGTATATCTTTCTTCTTGCAGTCTTTTCTTACTTCCTTTATGTGGCTGCCCTATTCTTCATTCTCTTTTAATGGCTGTTGTCCTCCAGACTAATTTTCTGAAGTGTTTAATGCTTTTAGATATGGCAGGTTTTACTCTGTGAGATAATTCTTTCTTTCATAAGATCGTGTGTTGGTTTGGACTCTGTCTTTCTCTTGGTGTTTATTTTATTGTTTAATGCCTGCACCATTTTACTCTTCTTCCTTAAAAATTCTCCTCATGTATTAAATAACTTTCACATTCCCTTCCCGTTTTCTTTCTCTTTCCCTCAAGTAGTTCAAATATGAAGAGATGTTTTCGTTTCCCTCTGATCTTTTTTTTTTTAACACCTTTATTGGAGTATAATTGCTTTACAATGGTGTGTTAGTTTCTACTTTATAACAAAGTGAATCAGTTATACATATGTTCCCATATCTCTTCCCTCTGTGTCTCCCTCCCTCCCACCCTCCCTACCCTACCCCTCTAGGTGGTCACAAAGCACCGAGCTGATCTCCCTGTGCTATGCGGCTGCTTCCCACTAGCTAGCTATTTTACGTTTGGTAGTGTATATATGTCCATGCCACTCTCTCACTTTGTCACAGCTTACCCTTCCCCCTCTCCATATCCTCAAGTCCATTCTCTAGTAGGTCTGTGTCTTTATTCCCATCTTACCCCTAGGTTCTTCATGACCTTTTTTTTTTTCCCTCAGATTCCATATATATGTGTTAGCATACGGTATTTGTTTTTCTTTTTCTGACTTACTTCACCCTGCATGACAGACTCTACGTCCATCTACCTCACTACAAATAACTCAATTTCATTTCTTTTTATGGCTGAGTAATATTCCATTGTATATATGTGCCACATCTTCTTTATCCATTCATCCGATGATGGACACTTAGGTTGCTTCCATCTCCTGGCTATTGTAAATAGAGCTGCAATGAACATTTTGGTACATGACTCTTTTTGAATTATGGTTTTCTCAGGGTATATGCCCAGTAGTGGGATGGCTGGGTCATATGGTAGTTCTATTTGTAGTTTTTTAAGGAACCTCCATACTGTTCTCCATAGTGGCTGTATCAATTTACATCCCCACCAACAGTGCAAGAGGGTTCCCTTTTCTCCACACCCTCTCCAGCATTTATTGTTTCTAGATTTTTTGATGATGGCCATTCTGACTGGTGTGAGATGATATCTCATTGTAGTTTTGATGTGCATTTCTCTAATGATTAGTGATGTTGAGCATTCTTTCATGAGTTTGTTGACAGTCTGTATATCTTCTTTGGAGAAATGTCTATTTAGGTCTTCTGCCCATTTTTGGATTGGGTTGTTTGTTTTTTTGTTATTGAGCTGCAGGAGCTGCTTGTAAATTTTGGAGATTAATCCTTTGTCAGTTGCTTCGTTTGCAAATATTTTCTCCCATTCTGAGGGTTGTCTTTTGGTCTTGTTTATGGTTTCCTTCGCTGTGCAAAAGCTTTTAAGTTTCATTAGGTCCCAACAGCACATTAAAAGGATCATACACCATGATCAAGTGGGGTTTATTCCAGGAATGCAAGGATTCTTCAATATACGCAAATCAACCAACATGATACACCATATCCCTCTGATCTTGTTTCGTCCTGTTTTCTCTTGAAATTTTCTTCTTCCCTAGTTCTTCACTCTTTCATGCATGTTTTCTCAGTCTCCTATTTCACGTTCTCATCCATCGTCTCTTGATTATGAAAATATCAACATAGTAGCTCCCAAACAGACCATTGGCTTCAAGATGTATCTCTTTTTCAAAGTCCTAAGTAATGTGTATCATCCACATGCTTCTCGCTTGTTGCCCCTTCTCCCTGATGCTCTTAGAAGGCTTGAAATAAGGGAGAGGAGAAGGTTCCAAGAGGGGCCAGTCTAGTCCCCACCCCCCTGCTCTGTTCCTGGTAACCTAGATGGTCATCATCCCAAACTAGTGGGGTGCACCTACAGGCACTCTGTGTCAGCAGCATTCCCTCCACCCGTGTAGACTGCGGGAACCAGGACAGCTCAGTTTGCCAGATGAAGAGCTTGTTGTCATGGCAACCAGGTGCTGCCTCCTGGGCTGCTGGGGCAGTTTCCACTTCCATGGAGGGCCTTTTCATTTCCTGGTAAGACGGGGCTGGCCGTATCTCAAGTGCCCTCACTCCCAGACTCTGATGTGTGAGCCCCATAGTGGGACAACTGCGTTCCCTGGGGCCCCACAGGACCCTCCCAGGCTGAAGTAGCAGGGACAGGAGCAAGGGTAGACTGTTCCACTGTGCACTGCTCCCCTGTAGAGTCCAGAACCTGCTCCACCTTTGCCTCCAGGGTCTTTCTTTGTTGTTCTCTACCTCTTGCTCCCACAGTTGGAGGTGCCCCAGCCTCCTTTCTCCTCCTCTTCTCTGTGGCAAGTGCCTCAGGACAAAAAAACCCCCACAGTCTGAATAGAGCAGGCTGTGCCCCTCCTGAGGAATTACCCCCTCCTCTAATGTGTTTGGTCTCTTCCGTCACTGTTCTGAAGACAAATATCTTTGCATACTTTTCACACTTTACTAACAGAGAATGCTGACTACTGATATAATATTCTTCTGTTGTGAAAGTGGGTGTCTTTAATTAACATTAATGATGGATTCTCAAAGGTACATCAGCAAAACAGTCTGGTGAAAATGGGGAGGCTGCATTTGATCTACCAGGTAAAGTATTCTCTGAGAGCTCTCAAACTTTCTTACTGTATGATAAAGTTTCTGGGAATGTTCCATGCCCCAGCCTGAAGTACACCCACACACAAAAAAGCCCTTAGAGATGGAGGGGGGAGAGCGGGCGGTGAGTTTACAATGTGGGATCCAAGCTTCTTTTTATCCCCCCGTGGGCATAATAATGCATACAAACTTTGAGAACCTGCAATATTTGTAAAACCTGGATTCTGGGTTTACATTTTCTTGCTGTTGTAGACAAAGCCACCAAAAGCATTTAAAAAATCAGAACTTTTGATTGTGGTGAAAGATCGTGCCAATTCCTTATGAGGTCTTGGCTCCTGAGTTGTGGTTCCTTTTGCCGTGGATATAAGCTTCTTTTCTTCATCATTGGGAGCGTGATCAGATTCCCCATGCCCATATTAATGTCTTATAATAATAAACCAGCCAGGATAAAATGGAGAGATCATATGACTGTAAAGGTTGGTGTCTCTTATTCATAAGAATAGCATTTTCCCCTTTTTCTGAACTTTAATATATATAGATGATTAAACATCATGGTTACATCAATTATAAACATGTACCTTGTAAAACCAAATTGGGATAAACTACTACAGAATTCCTGGGACAGTTACCATTGTTCAGGGTACCCTAGTATCCCGCATAAGAGGTTTTTCAAAGATGGCAGAATCTGATTATCATTCTTCTGCTATTTCCATTAGCCATTCTAGGCCATTTTTCATTTAACTATGAAAAATACCCAGCCATAGAGTCTGAGTCCAGACCAAAGTCACATTCTCTCCAAATGATTTAATTTTGAGTAAAATACTGATTTGGAGTTGACTGTTTAACAGGATGATTTCTTTCACTAACCACCATTCTTCCTTCTTGTCTTTTCTTTCTTTTTTTTTTATTCTTAATGGATTTTAGCTGACAACTGGATAGTGGCAAACACAGAGCTGATCGAGAAGACCAAGTTCACCATCACAGGTCTGCCAACGGATGCAAGGATCTTTGTGCGCGTGAAAGCCGTGAACGCCGCCGGTGCTAGCGAGCCCAAGTACTACTCTCAGCCCATCCTTGTGAAAGAAATCGTAGGTAGGTGGCAAGGCTTTCAAAATTTTGTCTCCATTTCACATTTTTTTTAACCTTTTTCTTTCTCAAACCCTCCTATTTTGTTGTCACTCCTTTGATATTAATATCTCCTGGGAGTTAGAAATGAACAAAACTGCCCTTTATAGGCAGCGTGGGAGGTCAGCTCCCGGTTTATAACTTGGTGTGAGGACCAGATAACTACACCAGGTTCCATGAGCCAATAGGCAGCTGGGCTGCCTAGTCACAAGGGGTGGGGGTCAGCGGCGGGTGGGGGAAGCATTTCAAACACACCATACAGCAGCAAAATGGCTCAAGGGAGTCTGCGAGGTCAAAACCATCTTCATAATAATATGAACGCATTGTTTTCCCTTTTCAATGCTTGGCCTCTGCACTGACGGTACAAAAGTGATGGTGTGTAAAACTGCCGGTGCCTTAGCACAGATCCAATCTGCGCCACCAGATTGTCTGGCTGGTCTTTTCTTCCTCACCGCCATGCACTCGCAGTTCAAATTAAAGGGCCAGCTTTGCCTTGGAGTGTTCTTGATGATACACAGGAATCATTAATGTTCTTAAACCTTGGTTCTTGAGGACACTTTTTTTCTATACTCTGTATGACCATGAAATGCAAAGTATATGTGAAACTCTTATGCTAAATGCGGTAGTACGATAGTTGTCTCTAGGAAGAGCATTTGTAAAGCATTTGTGCACCTGAATTAGAGCCTAAACTCACGACCTTGTCCATGAAACTCCATTCTTCCTCGAAAGAATGACAGAGTGACAAACTCTGGCTAGTCAGACTTGGGTATTTGGCACACATTTTCTAGAAAATGGATGGAGTGAGCCTGTTACTTGAAGGAAAACAACTTATAGTATTTATTGTCAACTTGTCAATGAAAAGCTTTAATCTTTGAAGCAAAAATTGAAATTATGGAAAACTGGTGTCCACCATCATGGACTTGGCAGCTCTCCAATACTTAAAATCTTTTCTGATGAAGTAGGTGGTGATAGTAGCAAATGTCATTTTTTGACATTGAATAATGCAGTATTTCAACATTTGAACAGTCTGCAGGATTCATCGAAGCAATATTTTCCAAATGACCAATGCAAGTTAAAAAAAATCATGCATGGCTAAGATACATTCAAAATGGAAGGCAGACCAATGGGGTTTAATGTAACAGAAATGAGAAGTTCATAGAATTTTTCAGATTCCATACTGCAGCTAACCCTTAAGAAATTACAGCTCGTGTTTTAGCGTAGAATCAAAGAGGAATACCCACAATTGTCTGAAAAGTTTATTAAAGTATTCTTCCTGTCTGTGTGAAGACAAATTTTCTTCATGTACTTCAACCGAAACAGCGTATTGCAACAGATTAGAGGCAGAAACAAATAAAGTCCAGCTAACCTCTCTTAAGTCAGACATTAAAGAGATTTGCCAAAGTATAAAATAACGCCACTCATATCACAAATTTTTGTTAATGTAAATATGGTTGTTTTCATTTAAATGATATTTATGTTATTATTTTTCAAGCAATAAATATATAAGTATTTCAAAATTTATTGGTTTTAACTTCTAATATGGTAAATATGATAGATACAGTCCACATAAACAAAAGCTTTGCGGGGCCTTTGATGATTTTTAAGAGTGTAATGGGATTCTGAGACCAAAAAATTTGAGAATCGGTGCTCCAGGGCAAAGAATACCGGGAAGGGGTCTGAACATCTGGGTCTGGACCGTGCTGAGCCACAGACTTACGGTGTGACTGCCTGAAACCTTTTGGGAGTAAGTTAGGGGACAGATGGATGGATGGATGGATGGATGGATGGGTGGGTGGATGGATGGATGGATGGATGGATGGGTGGATGGGTGGATGGGTGGATGGATGGATGGTAGAAAGTATGAAGCATGCACACTTTCTTATTAGATTCTAGAGACAGACTATGAAAGCTGAGTCCTGTTTCCTTCATTTATTAACCATGTGGTCCCAGGCAAGGGACTTGATATTCCTGAGCCTTAATTTCTTCATCTGCAAAACGTATACAATAATAGTACTTACATCAAGAGGTGGTGAGAGTTGAATAAATTAATCCATGTTATTTGCTTAACGGAATGCTGGCCACATAATAAGCCCTTGGTATATGTTAGCTTTTATTCTGATGATGGTGTAATGTGCTACAGAACCTCGCTGAGTCTCCTTTTCCTCCTATGTAAAGTTAGGGAGTTAGAGGATCTCTCAAGTTCTCTTCCAGCTCCAGCATTCAGTAACCACCACCACTACCATCATCTTCATCTTCTTCCCCTAAAGTTTATTGAGCATTTACTATTCTCAGCCATTATGCTAAACACTTTATATGGATGACCTTATTCAGTCCTCACTACAATGCTGTGAATTAGATGCTGTTATCATCCCAGTTTTACGGAATAGGCTGAGACCAGATCTACTGTCTGATCTGGAACTCAAACCCAGATCTCTCTCTCTTTTTTTTTTTTTTACATCTTTATTGGAGTATAATTGCTTTACAATGGTGTGTTAGTTTCTGCTTTATAACAAAGTGAATCAGTTATACATATACATATGTTCCCATATCTCTTCCCTCTTGCGTCTCCCTCCCTCCCACCCTCCCTATCCCACCCCTCCAGGCGGTCACAAAGCACTGAACTGATCTCCCTGTGCTATGCGGCTGCTTCCCACTAGCTATCTGTTTTACGTTTGGTAGTGTATATATGTCCATGCCACTCTCTCGCTTTGTCACAGCTTACCAGATCTCTCTTGACCCCGCAGTCCATGTGTCTAAGCAGAACATAGGCAGTGGAAGCTGATTCCAGGTCTAATCCTGGCTATGTCACCTTGGGGCAAGTGACTTAAACCCCTGTTGCTTTAGCTTCTTTATCATAAAGTAAAAACAGTACCTGTGTCATAAGGTGGCTGTGAGGTTTAAATTGGTCGCTTCGTGAAAAGCATTTATCCCAGCATCTGTTCCATACACAGCCCTCAAGTGATAGGACCCACCTCATCCCTGTGAGCCATGAGCCTTGATTCTCTGCTTCTGATGGGTTTACAACCACATGTTCTAGTATCTTCATGGTGTTTAGTTAATGAACATTAATATACAGCGGGCTAGGGCTGCCTATTATATACTTCACCTTAGTCATAAAGGGAGAAAGTTACCATCAAATTCTAACATAATTACATAAATAATAAGTGCTAGGTGCTAAAGCATTTTTTATTATTATTTTCTGGTGAGAAAAAATGGGCAGCCCTACCAGCTAATGTGGTGACTGTAGATCTTTTATGGAATGTTCACTGGAGAATATACTCACTGTTAGAAAACTAAGAAAACAATATATAAGGTCCTAAGAGAAAATTTAGTGCTTTTCTATAAAGTTGCTTTAGGCTTATAATAAAAATAGGAAGTTGTAGTAAAATTAAGGAGGTCAGGGAGTAATCTTGTTAAGTCAGACTGTTAAAACATCTCTCCCTGAAGGAAACATTTGGAACCAAAGTTACCACCTATAACCTGTTAGTAGCCCAACTAAGATTTCACTTCAGAGACATGAGCGTAGGGAAGTCCTGGTGAGTATGATGACAAGTATGCTTATGTAATGCTGCTCCCAGTGTGTGATACTGACTGCAAAATTATGCTCTTCTACTCTCGTTCAGAGGCTCCAAAGATTCGCATCCCAAGGCACCTAAAGCAAACCTATATCCGCAGAGTTGGAGAAGCCATCAATCTGGTTATACCTTTCCAGGTAATAATTCAGGGTTGCTCATTTTCTCCTTCCCATGCTGGGGTGTTTAAGGAGTAGAGGGAGGGACTTCAGCATTTAAGTTATTCGTGATTCAGAATTACCTCAGAGGAAAGGCAGGAAAGGATGGAGGAGATCTGGAGAGTGATTAAACAACCTCCTGCTTTACAAGTACGGAAATCTATAAAAGTGTCCTGGATTTTCCTTCTGCATGAGATAAATGAGGCCTAGTCTTGTCTGAGGCTCAGGGACCATAGGGGGCCAGAGAGGAAACACCAAGGAGACACCGAAACAAGAAATGCTTAAAGATCTTTCTGGTTCTATCCATCTGTAAAACTGATCTTCCTTTTAAGTGAAGTTCTTGGTGTAAAATTCAGGAAAACAACATGTCCTTACTTCCCATGATTTCCCCAAACCACACTCAAATCACCCAAATTCCAATGGGGGATAACTGAAATTTGAAATTTTGATGCCCCTAACTGAAATAAATGAGCATTGTTAAATCTTTGCTCCCTCCAAAGAATCTGTTGTTTATAAGATTAACCAGGCTTTGCATATGATAATCACTTTTGGTCTCTCTCTCTCTCTCCCTCTCTCTCTCTCTCTCTCTCTCTCTCTCTCTCTCTCTCTCTCTCTCTCTCTCTCTCTCTCTCTCTCTCTCTCTCTCTCTCTCTCTCTCTCTCTCTCTCTCTCCCCCTCTCTCTCTCTCCCTCTCTCTCTCTCTCTCTCACACACACACACACACACACACACACACACACACAACACCCACTGCACCATTCCCTCCTTACTCATTTGATTCCTTTTATGCCTCTAAACAGTGCTGTTCAGTAGAACTTTCTGTGATGATAGGAATGTTCTGTGTATGCAATGTCCAATATGGTAGCCAGCAGCCAAATGTGTCTATTGAGGACTTGAAAGGTGCAGCTAGGAACTAGGGCAACTGGGGAAATGAATTTTTAATTTTCCTTAATTTTAATTAGTTTTAGTTTAAATGGCCACATTGAGCTTATGGCTGTTACGTCAGACAGCATGGCCTTAGAACTAGAATTTAGGTCTCTGCAAACATTTGGATACACACACACACGCAGAGCTGGTTCAAACACAGGCTCCCATGAAAACTAACCTAAAGGGACAGCCAGTTCAGGCCATTCTCATTGCACCTGGGGCCCAGCCTTAGGAGAGGCAGTTAGCTTCTACATACACAGCACCTGAAATCAGAACGGAAGTCAAGGAGGACGTGAGTGTGAACACAGCAGAGGAGGAAGACGATGGCTTGGCAAGGTTCCTCCCACTTCTGTCCTCCCACAGCCTAAAAAAAAAAACCAGGAGTTGGCACAAGGCGGGCACCCAGGACCCAGCTCCAGCCCTGGATTGGGGCTGAATCAGCCCTCTAGTTTCCACGTCATGGCAACAGCTAGGGCTAATCCCAGTTCCCAGATCTTGTTGGGAATGGGAGAGTGTATTCAGCTCTGTCCCTGGGTCTGGGAGAGGAGAGAGCATGAGAACAGGGACCTCATAGGTATGGCATCCCAGGGGCTGGTCAGCTACTAGGAAGGGGATGATGAGACTAGTATGTCATGTTTGTATATTTATGTAACCTCTAAAGTTCTCGAACCTTTTCTCATTTGAGCCCCAGATACACCTTGTGAGGCAGGAATGGCAGATTTCCTTACCCTCCTTGAGAAGGGAAGAAACTGACATTCAGAGAAGCTAAGTGACTTGCCCAAAGTCACACAGCAAATAAATGGTAGTGCCGTGAACAGAGTCTATATCTCCAGACACTGAATCCAGTGCTTTTTTCACTCCAAACGTTATCAGAGAACTCAATTTTTTCCCCCAGTAGTTAATAGTAAATTGTACACTTAAGGAAATGAGACCTGGAACTATTTTTCCCATCTTTAACAGTATTGTTCTCTACTTCCCATATGCACATCTGAGCACCTGCAACCATTCTTCAAGCCCTGTGGGGAGGGGTTTGATGTGTGTCTCTCACATTCCTTAGCAGAACCTATCAACAAGTCACATTAGGAGCCCATGGGAAGGCTGTGCGTTTCCCAACGGAATTAATGCTTGGTTCCTGTCTGTGGGGTGAGCCTGGGTGCTCAGGAATCCTAGGAAGTTTCTTTGTAACGTAAACTAAAACTCATGTCCTTGGGCTTCCCTGGTGGCGCAGTGGTTGGGAGTCTGCCTGCCGATGCAGGGGACGCGGGTTCGTGCCCCGGTCCGGGAAGATCCCACATGCCGCGGAGCGGCTGGGCCCGTGAGCCATGGCCGCTGAGCCTGCGCGTCCGGAGCCTGTGCTCCGCAACGGGAGAGGCCGCAACAGTGAGAGGCCCGCGTACCGGAAAAAAAAAAAAAAAAAAACTCATGTCCTTGAATGAGATTATAATTACTCAAAGTCTGCTCTTAAAGAATAGTTTCAGCTGCTAGAGAGAACAGAGAGAGAATTACAGACAAGTCTGAAATGAGCAACACAGTACAGTGGAACAATAGTAATCATTAGCATGTAGATGATATTAATGAAACACCTCTGCAGTGCACAGAAGCTTTCTAAGAACTTCAGTTGTGATAACCACCCTGAAGAAAGGTACTCTCATTCCACTTTACAGTTTGGGAAACTGAGGCAGAGAGTTTAAGTAACTTGCCCGAAGTCACACAGCTATTAAGTAGTGGAGTCAGGATCCAAATACAGATTCTAGGGTCCCAGGGCCCATGTTCTGAACCATTAGGCTGTGATGTGCAGGCTTTGGAGCTGAAGAGACCAGGCTAGAAGACCAACTTCCAGCACTTAGCTGCAAGGCCTTGTACAAGTCATTTAATACCATTATCAAAAAAAAGGGGGGGGGCTTCCCTGGTGGCACAGTTGTTGAGAGTCCGCCTGCCGATGCAGGGGACACGGGTTTGTGCCCCGGTCCGGGAGGATCCCACATGCCGCGGAGTGGCTGGGCCCGTGAACCATGGCTGCTGAGCCTGTGCGTCCGGAGGCTGTGCTCCGTGGTGGGAGAGGCCACAGCAGTGAGAGGCCCGCGTACCAGTAAAAAAAAAAAAAAAAAAAAAAAATGAAGATAATGATACTTATCCTGATGTGAAGAGTAAGGGAAGTTATAAATATCACGTACCTAACATAGTACCTCGCATGCAGAATGCAATCAATGGGCAGTAGTGAATATTACATTACTGCTATAACTGCCCACCACCAGGCCATTTTCCAAACTTGCCTAGGATGGGGTAAGCCACTGCCCATTTATTTAATGCTGAAAAGAAATGAGACAATCTGATCCCCTCCCGCCTCTACTTTTTCTGTCTTTTTTTTTTTCTTTTAAGGGAAAACCAAGACCAGAAGTAACTTGGAAGAAAGATGGGGCACCTATTGATAAGAATCAGATCAACATTCGCAACTCTGAGACCGATACAATCATATTTATCAGAAAAGCGGAGAGGAGCCATTCTGGGAAATATGATCTGCAGGTCAAAGTGGAAAAATACGTGGAAACTGCATCCATTGATATCCAGGTTGTTGGTAGGTTTGGAGGAGGGAACTAGAACATTCTATATGGAGACAAATTGTCCTTGTCAATAAGGCAAGAGTCAGAATTTCTTCTGTTAGGCTGGCTCTACAGAAAATTCCTCTTTTTAGAATTTAAAAAAATAGATAAATTAGGAAGATCGGTTAGCATTTTAGAATAATTTTTCACTGACTAAAAGGACTAACCATGGGAGACTTAGGGCATATATAGTAAAGAAAATTAATGTATATTACTTTCTAGTGAAAACTATCAGTACTGTTTCACGATCCAGTTCTCTCTTACTTTGTTTCTCAACTCTTCAATGATAAAACTATTTCCCATGTTGAATTCTTGCATTAAGGAAACATTATAGATTCTAGATATAGTTTAACATGTTTCTTACTACATTTAAAATTTGCTAATAGTAACGTTAATGGAGAATGAAGAATTTTTATTAAATCTAGGAAAGGTACACCTAAACAGAGTTAAACAGTTAAAGACTGAATTGTGGTTGGTCGCGCAGGGCTTAGATACTTACCTCTCCAAACAAGGTTAGTTCTTACTTGTTTGCACCGTTAGGGCAATAAAGGGAGGATCTCTTACAGTAGACCCTTCTCGCTTGAACTGTTCTATAGTGTTTGCAATGTCAAGAAATAAATTTAAGAGCAGCGTTAGGAGAAGCCTTGTCTCCAGTCAATTTTATGATTACAGTTTATCACATGTGCTAGAATTAGAGGCTCCCTAACCAAAGGAGCAGCTTCCTGTGGCAAGCCTTCCCTTAGGTGAAAGCTCCTGTCCTTTAAACTAAGCAATCTTTTCGTGCTGACTAAACTGTCTTGATTTTTGTTAAGTTGAAAGGAGTGTTGAGGATGTTCTGTGTGCCCTTGGGTCTGGCCTGGCTCCATTTTATTTTATTTAATTAATTAATTTATTTTAAACATCTTTATTGGAGTATAATTGCTTTACAACGCTGTATTAGTTTCTGCTATATAACAAAGTGAATCAGCTATACATATACATATATCCCCATATCCCCTCCCTCTTGCATCTCCCTCCCACCCTCCCTATCCCACCCTTCTAGGTGGACACAAAGCACAGAGCTGATCACCCTGTGCTATGCGCTGGCTCTATTTTAATGGAAGCCCTTGTGGTTGGGTCTGGAAGAGCCTTGCCCTCTGAAACACGACAAAGGACTTTTTCATTTTTCCTACTTTGCCATGTAGTTACTTTACCAGGTAGTTACGAGCACCTGGCACGTCACTCACACGCTCAAAGTGTTCAATAAATAGTAACAATTAGTATCCCACTTATTTTATTAGTCCCAAGTTCATGTTTCTGCCATGACTGTAAAAATCTAGCCATTTACTGTTGGGGAGCAAGTGTTTGAAAAGCCAACGTGAACTTTGAAGACAAAGCAGACCTGGGGTGCAGGTGGGAAGTTGAACTGGGAGAAGACATCTGTCTGTAGGACAAGTTGGTGAAAACAGGAGATAGAAAACTGTGGTTGTAGAGACTCATTGTTGGTAATTGTAGAAAGGAAGTGAGGATTATCACTGTGGTTTCCCTCCACCCCCGGAGCCCATGAAGACTGCATGTTAAACGTTGCTTAAAAGAGAGAAAAACATGAGAAAGCACTCTGATATTTATTCTTTTCAATCTGACATTTCAAATAGAAATAATTATAGTTGCATTTTAATACCTGAAAAATATTTCAGGACAGAAAGGGTACTGCTTGCACTGCAAAGGATAACAGATGTGAAATTTCTGTGAAAAAATTAACAAGTACTATGTAGATACGTAATATTATTGTCCTTCCTTGAACCTCTATGCGTGATTTTTTTTTGAGGTGGCCTCCCAATGAAGATTTAGTTTTCTTTTTTATTAATTAATTTTTCTTGAAGTATAGTTGATTTACAATGTTGTGTTAGTTTCTTCTGTATAGCAGAGTGAATACATATACATATATCCACTCCTTTTTAGATTCTATTCCCATATAGGTCATTACAGAGTATTGGGTAGAGTTCCCTGTGGTACCCAGTAGGTTCTTACGAGTTATCTATTTTATATATACTAGTGTTATATTTCAGTCCCAACCTTCTAAGTTATCCCTCCCCCCAAGTTTTCGTTTACTTGACTTTGGGCCTTTCTGAATGTTACTGCAATTTACTGGAAGGTCAGAGGTCACAGAAATTCATAGTGCAGAAAATAAAGTGAAGAAAGACTTTATTTCTTCATGAATGCATTCTACTTCCATAACATGGAAACACTGATAAATACAAATGAATCTTGGAGGGAGCGATGGCAGAGGAAATAAGTTTTCCTCACTCCCATTAAAGGTGCCTTTTGAGTGCAGCAGAGGACCTCTCTCACAGACAGTGGGCTTCGGGCCTCTCACCGAAAACTGGAGCTACACAGCCCAGGTAGGCTCTATGATTTCAAGTCTAGCATCAGCTTACCTTTCCCATTAGGCAGGGTAGCCTGTGACTCACTGCCAGTAGTCGGCCCCTGGAGGGATGGTTAATGATATTTGAAGTTTCATTTACATTTTCCTTTCAAAATCCTTTTCTTTCCATGAAGATGAAAGTCAAGGGTTTCCAGATAAGATTAGTAGGAGTGCATTGTACTTCTCCGGAGAAGAAGAATGCAAAAGAAACGTGGGTAGAAATACAGGAAGGAAAGGACATTTTAAAATATCCTCCTGTAACAAGGTCTAGGTTGGGGGGAAAGTGACCTCACAGTGATGCCATGAATTCATCCTACAGACCGTCCGGGTCCACCCCAAGTTGTGAAGATCGACGATGTCTGGGGAGAGAATGTTGCTCTATCGTGGACACCACCAAAGGATGATGGGAATACTGCCATTACAGGGTACACGATCCAGAAGGCCGACAAGAAGAGCATGGTAAGGTCTGGCTTTCTCTGGTTCCGCAGCAGCAAAATAACATTTCATCAGAAGTAAAGGGGGAAGCATGAGGTCCTCTCTGGTGAGGAACTCATGAGGGACATGGAGAAGTGATGTGGCACAGTGGAAAGGGTGAAGCCTTGGGAGCCGCGAAGAGTTGGACTTGCATTTCCACTTAAAACCACGTACACATGGACAGTCACTTAACCTCTTTGATCTCCATTTCCCTCATCTGTAAAATAAGGACACTGATGTTTACCTCGCTTGTTTATCAAGAGGCTAAAACAGGGGCTGCCCTGGAGGTCCACTGGCTAAGACTCCATGCTTCCACTGCGGGGGGTGTGGGTTCGATCCCTGGGCAGGGAACTAAGATCCTGCATGTCGCGCAGTGAGGCCAAAACAATATAAAGCAACTGGCAGAATGCTCAGTAGAATTCAATAAAGTTATTCGTTCAACAGATATTTACTCACTGTGGATTCTGACTCAGATCTGCACCCATGCAACTTCTTCCTCCTTGTAAAATGAATGTTGGTAGCATGGACTGATGTCTTTAAAAAAAAAAAAAATTCCAGTTAGAAAAGAAAGAGTCTAAAGGTAACAGCATATGCAAAGGTCCTGAGGAGGAGAAGCATTTAGCGTATTCAAGAAGCAACTCAGTTGGAGTATGAATTATTATTACCTATGTTAGATCACCAGATTTTAAATGTTAAAGTCTAGGTCTTTCTGAATTAGAATCCATCCACTACAACTACCATTGCTCTACCTGTAAGTCAATGAATGAATAAATGAATGTTTGGACACAGGATGGCTTGGAGCCACTATTCATTCTCATAGGAAGAGTAAAACATCGTACCAAATGATATTGATAGGAAGTCTGCAGGCATTTACACTACTAGATGTCAGTAAGAACTTAGGGTATAAGGTTACATTGGGTTAATAGAAGGGGAGAGGGTTGGAAAGAGCAGTCTAAGTAACTGGAATGGATTTCAAGCCTTGCCTTTCCATAAACTATTTCTAGCATGTCTTTCCCCCCACCCCTGGGTGGGTGTTACATGACAAAATAAGACTTGGCATTTACAGAAACATGTTTCAGCCAAACCTGGACAGCTTGAGAGCTAGATCAATGGATGACTTTGCAGGGGAAGTATTGACCACCTTGGATTTCCTTAGCAATGAGGGCTCTTCTTTGGACCTTGGTCCAGATACTGGCAGTGAATCCAGGGGTACCACACTGCCTCCAGGTGCCCCCCATTCTTCCACGCCCACCACATTGCCAACAGTTGTCTTCTCAGATATCTAGTCAAGTCCAGCTGAGCCAGGACTTTCCTGCTGCTTCGTGTGTCTGAGGTCTGCCTGCTGACAGGAGAGGAACCCCAATCCCATCCCCTTGTGTTTCTGGTGCCTTTCAGCAAGGGCAGGCCTACAGACCAGAAGATGCTCGCTCTGCCCAGTGCACTTCCCCGGAGGTCACCACACCACTATCTCACTGTTGCTACAGATGCTCTTTTTCACTTAAATTCCTATAGTCCTTTATACCTTCCATAAACATTGTTCTCATGATGTATGCCAACACATTCATTTATTCATTCATTAACTATTTGTTGAGCAGTGTTCTAGCTGGTGGATCAAAAACAAAAAGACAGCTCCTCGGGCTTCCCTGGTGGCGCAGTGGTTGAGAGTCCGCCTGCCGATGCAGGGGACACGGGTTCGTGCCCCAGTCCGGGAAGATCCCACATGCTGTGGAGCGGCTGGGCCCGTGAGCCATGGCCACTGAGCCTGCACGTCCGGAGCCTGTGCTACGCAACGGGAGAGGCCACAACAGTGAGAGGCCCGCGTACCGCAAAAAAAAAAAAAAAAAAAAAAGACAGCTCCTGCTCTTGGACCACTCATAGTTTAAGCAAGCAGAAAGACATAAAGCCAAATGATAAAACAGTATAATAAAGGTTTGCATAAAGTGCTTTGGAAATAAAGGAGGGCATAACTACAATTGTCTGGTGTCTTTAAAATATCCCAAATATAGAGAAGATCACAGCCCCTAAAAGTTGCAAGGAAAATCGTTTTCCTTTCTGAAATTTTTTGTCAGCAAATGTATTTTCTCAATTAGTGGTACTAAACATATGTAGTACAATGTGGTTTTCTACTGGTGGCAAGATAAACTTTGAAACCACTATATTTCTTGACATGGTGAGGAAAAAGTCAAAAAAAAAAGAAGAATATAGCTTTAGCTCATCCATTCATTCCTGTATTCAATGAACATTTATTTTGTGCATGCTACCTACTGTATACCAGGTGCTGTGAGAAGGCACTGGAAATACAGGGGTGAGAAGAAAAGTCCATTTTTATCATCACTGTGTATCCATTCCAGTGGGGGAGGTAGCAGATAAGCAAGTAAAATAGTAAGTATGTCATATATTTAAGGTAACAAGTACTGTGAAGAAAACATAGCCAGGTTAAGGTGAAAAAGTATGACCAAAGTAGAGTGGTGAGAGGGTAAACAGTAGAGGAAGTAATATCTGAGCAAAGAATTGAAAGAACCTATGGTAATAATGTTAGGCAAGTTGATTGGGTGATATTAATTTTTGTGGTTTAGCATCATCTCTCCCTCAGAATAGATAAGTTGGCATGAAAATTCTATAATTATACTTTGTTATACAAAAGATAAATAGGTAGGTAGGTAGACAGATAGATGACAGACACTGCACAGTAATGTAGAAAATATAAAGATAGTAGTTGACATTGTCCATGGAAATAATCAATAACCAATTTACTATAAGAATAGAGGAGGGCTTCCCTTGTGGCGCAGTGGTTGAGAGTCCGCCTGCCGATGCAGGGGACGCGGGTTCGTGCCCCGGTCCGGGAAGATCCCACATGCCGCGGAGCGGCTGGGCCCGTGAGCCGTTCCCGCTGAGCCTGTGCGTCCGGAGCCTGTGCTCCGCAACGGGAGAGGCCACAACAGTGAGAGGCCCACGTACCAAAAAAAAAAAAAAGAATAGAGGAGAGGACTATAGCCCGGCAGACAGCCTCTCAGACAGCTCTGAGGAACTGCTCCACAGAAGCATAGCTTTCAGCACAGTTTTTAACCTTGTTTGAACAAAGAACCTCAGATATGACAGAGATACATTCCTTCAAGGTTTCCAAAAGAGACAGTTCAGCACATACACAGCAAGTCATTATGACCTTGGTGCCCGAGGAAGGGAGATTTATCACGGAAGGAATACAAGCATTGATGTCCCAGGAAAGGAGGCATTTATCTGGATCTTCAAAAGAGACCTTCTTCACTTCTGGACAGTGCATGCTTTTCTTTAAATGGTTAAAGCAGATGTACAATGTATGTTTATTAGGTCCCAAAACGGGCTGTTCTAGTTAGCATAAAGTTTAAGTTAAACCACATATAAGCCAGAATGACTTCTTCATACCTCAATATATGAAAATTTCTTCCATCCACATCTAGGGCAAATGAATCTAATGTGTAAATGAAGATTAAATGACGTAGTCAAGTGTAAATCAATTGTAAAGCGTTAAACAAATTAAATATACATTTCTGTTACCCTCAGTATAAAAAATTAGTGCTCTTTTTTCCTCTTAGCTAATGCAACATCCCTGTTATTTATTTGAATCAACAGGTGAAATAACTGTGTATTTTTAAGTGATTTTCCTCAAATTCTTATTTTTGCTTTCAGGAGTGGTTCACTGTCATTGAGCATTATCACCGAACCAGTGCCACCATTACTGAACTGGTTATCGGAAATGAGTATTACTTCCGGGTGTTTGCTGAAAACATGTGCGGCCTCAGTGAGGATGCAACAATGACAAAAGAGAGCGCCCTGATTGCCAAGGATGGTGAGTTGGAAGCGGGCTGGACATCTGGGAACCTTGATTTTCAGTGATGAGACAGAGAAGACAGAAAGAAAAAGAGATGTGGTAAAAGGGGATAAGAATGTCATAAACACACATTTAAAATTATGGTAAGGAGATGCAGCCACAGGCCAGGGAATGCTGGCAGCCACCAGAAGCTGGAAGAGGCAAGGAACAGATTCCCTGCTACAATCTCCAGGGTCAGCGTGGCCCTGCCAACACCTTGATTTTGTATCTCTGGCCTCAACAACTGTGAAAGAATAAATTTCTGTTGTCGTAAGAAATAAAAAATAATAAATAAATAAATAAAATTATGGTAAGAACGTCCAACCAAAATGTTAATCTTACAAGTAAAATATTTTAAGGAAAATATATTACGATTGCATTTTTTAACGTACAAGCTTTCATTCATGGCAACATCTGGGTAGTGGGTCTCTCAATGGCTAAGATCACAGGGGTAGGAAAAAGTCACCATTTACTTTTAGAGCTTGGGTTACTTTTATTCTTGGACACCTTCAAGGATGCTACACATGAGAGCCACTTTTCAATGAAAGGAGAAGTTGGATTCTACCCCTGTCATTTCATTTCCTCATAAACCGTGTCCTTCCTGCCCTTCCTCGTTACTTTCACGTTAAAGCACATTGTTGAGCAAAACACCCAGACACTGAATTCTTCCCAATACTTATTTCAGTTCCAGGTGACCCCTCTGGGTTTCTTTCCTGTGTGTGATGGGCTGTACATTGGTATCCTTCTGAATGAATGCCCTGTGGCCTTCACACATGTTTTTCTAAGCTCAGGGAAGTTTTCAACGTTAGTCAAGTATGCTAAGAATAATATATTCTCAGGCCAATTTGTATATCTCTAATGCTTGTTTTTAAGGTAAAATCTACAAAAATCCAGTGTATGAAGACTTCAATTTCACAGAGGCACCCATGTTTACTCAGCCATTGGTCAACACCTACGCCATAGCTGGTTACAATGCCACCCTGAACTGCAGTGTGAGAGGAAATCCTAAGGTACCATGTTTTGGGGTTTTTTTAATCACATTAATTAAATTTAAAAATTAATCCCAAACCCCCTCTTTTATATTCACTCTGTCATAATTATAAGTAGTAATATAAACTGAGCTTCCAACTGCTATTTGTGTCTTTTTCTGGGATACGGAGGGGGGTACAGGATGGTGGTATTGGTGGATAATAAAGGACACTATTTAAATGTAGAAAAAATATTTATATTTCTTTACTAACTAAAGGATACTTTCTAAGGAAAAACCAAACCACTTATTTTTAAAAGAACGGAGAGATAAAGAGATGGAAGTAATATTGTGTCACCTGAAAAATTAGATGGTGATATTGATTTATCAAGCTTTCTGTAATAGTGTAAAGCAAATAAGTGTACTATCGTGCAAGGCAGAATTCGAATGTACAGTGTTAAGGGTACCGAGTACCAGGAAGGGAGAGATCGCATCTGACTGAAGAGATTTAGAAAGGATTTCAGGTTTCATGTTGCTGGCATTTGAAAAGAACAGCAAATGAATGAATGAATGAATGTTGCCCATAGAGCTATCTATCCCTGGGTGGCACTGAGAGAAAGTGCCCTAGAATTTGGAAAAATTGCAAACAGTGATATTTTTCCTGCATATACCATGAGCAGAAATAGAGAAGTCAAAGGGAGAAGACAGCCTGAGGGTGGGAGGAAGATGCTGAATTCATGTTTAATTGGAGGTGATGTTGGTACATTCAAGCGGGAACGACCAGGAGGCGAGGAGAGCATCGCCAGAGCTTGGGAGAAAGGCGAGGGCTGTGACTCTTGGTTTGGGTGACCCAAGCATGGGGACGCTGCATCCCACCCCTTGGAGCCAAGGCTCTAGAAAGGAATATCTAATGAAAGAGAGTAGTGAAGCAAAATGTCAAGGAGCAAGGTGTGAGCCTCAGGAAATACTCCCATTTGAAAGGCGGAAGGAGGAAGAGGACGGTGTGAAGGACACTGAGAAGTGCTGTCTCTTGGGTCTGAGCAAGACAAAATCAATAAGAGGTAGAGTGTGGAGGGTGTGCATTTACAGAAGGGAGAAGAAGACAATATGAAAAAGAAATGGCAAGTCAGTGGTACCAGCTGTAGTTCGGAAGTCAAGCAGAATGGAGTAGCCTTCCTGGGCGATTGATCTGGGATTATCCGTTTGGAGTAGATCCATCCATTGCCACCAGGTGATGAAAACAGATGTCAGAAGAGAGATTAAATGGTGAGGAGGCATAAGCAGCCCATAAAGAATTAGAAAAGCATATCAGGGAAAGGAAGTAGAGAAAACTGGCTGGTGATGACGCCTTACAGGGATTCTTTGAAAAACACTGAGCAATATACACTCTCCAGGATGAGTTAACCTCATGGACCTGTAGATCAAATTTAAATGTAACTGAATCTTGGGGAAGATTGCCCCAGGGCTGTCCTCTGAACAAATCTGGCTGGCTTCTTCAGAACTGCCCCTTCGCTTTCTTGCCAAGCATTAAGTAGAATTTAATCTGAGAGAAACGGTTCTCAAGTTGACGTGGATTCTTCTTAGATGTAGTATTTTCTTTCTAAGCCATGCTTTAAAATTCTGTCACTGGCTTTGATGGTCTCTTATCAGGCTAAGTACAGATATGTTTTGCCCTAATTTGCTTCCATCTTCAGCCCAAAATTACCTGGATGAAAAACAAAGTTGCTATCGTGGATGACCCAAGATACAGGATGTTCAGCAACCAGGGGGTCTGTACTCTGGAGATTCGAAAGCCCAGCCCCTATGACGGAGGCACCTACAGCTGCAAAGCAGTCAATGACCTTGGGGCAATGGAGATCGAATGCAAACTGGAGGTGAAAGGTATGACATCCCAGATCTTGTGTAGACTGAACTGAAAGAAAATCATTTAATTATTGTCCTTACTGCCAAATCCCAATTACTTGCCAACATTTTCTGGGGGAGGGGAGGAAGGAGGGAGAAGATTTGGGGAGAGAAGACATTTTTACATTCTGAACTCACTCTTATTTGTGATGGCTACTTGATTTTGTAAGTTGACTTACTTTCATCTCTTGCAATTCTTGTTAACTAAAGCACTATTAATTCCAATGAATTGTGGTATGTGCACAGCATGGTAACAATGAATCAAGTCAAAGGGGTATTACTTTGGTGATGTAGTCCATCTTAGATAAATAGAAGCCTTGTGTAAAAACTCATCTAATGAAACTGCAGTTGAGGAATTTAACAATCTTTGTGAAACTTTCTATGTATATGTAAATTTACTAATTTAGTATTTAATATTACACATGTAGAATTCAGCATACACATATTATAACCCGTTCCTCTAAAAATCTCACTAGAGAATTTCCATTTGTAGGTATGCATTTCATTTATACTAGTTTTCAGAAGTGTTGCAGGTAATGTAAACCAAGAAAACACATGAAGATTTATGTGGTAGAAAAGTCTCAGTGTAATTGTCCTCTTAATCAATTTTCATATTAATTGAGTATAATTTGTATCCTGAAGTTTTTTTCTTGACAATCAATACCTTCTGGGATACGATGAAAACTCTTACAGCTGTCAGAGTCACCGTTAGGAGATAAGGAGTGACATGATCCTAATGTCTTTTCTCTCATTCTTATTGCATTATTTTGCCATTTTGTGATAACCAAAGTCTTTACTTTTCCTACCTCTCTATAATGAAGAAATTATAATCTAAAAGTCAGATATAACTTTATAAATATCTATTTTAGAAAAAACGTAGTAAATGCCTAGGGTATTTATGTAAACAATAACAACAACAACAAAAGAGTTTTTTAGTCCTAAATCTAGTGTAAATATAGTAGAGAAACTTCTCGAAAAAATTTTTTCCTTCTGTAACTTTAAAAAACCAGTATTCTCTCTGTTATGATTTTTGTCCATCCTCAGATAATACAGGATAGTAGATTCACAATTGAAAGAAAGAAAATTTTTAAGTTTTTTCCCTCTTAAATGTAAAGCATATAATATTCTTAGAAAATTTCAAACTTTACTATTGAGATAGTGGATACAAGTTTAAATGTTGTTCTTTTAGCTATTTATTAGCTTTTTTTTTTTTTTCGGCTGTGCCACGTGGCACGTGGGGTCCTAGTTCCCCGACCAGGGAGCGAACCCGGGCCCCCTGCACTGGAAGCATCAAGGCTTAACCATTGCACTGCCAGGGAAGTCCTATTTATTAGCTTTAAAGGCAGATTAAGGTCATAGTTGCAAACACATCTGGTTTCTAAACTCCTTATTAGTTCCACGGTATTGTTGGTACTTATGTTCCAACACCCAAAAAACAAGAATGCAAAAATCAAAAACCCAATACCACTTCTGCATGCTTTGAAAATACCTGAATGTTGCTAATGATATAAAATGATGGTTTCAAAATGGTTCAAAATTTGGGGTCCTCCATAAGCGAATAATGTTATGCATATAAATGCTGTATTCTTTCTAGTAATTGTATAGTAATTGAATTTAATAACATAAATAATGTATTCTAGTATATAAATTCATAATAAGATATCAACTGTGATATATTAGTAAAAGCTTTTGGTCCTAAAAGTAAAGCCACCATTATTTATCATCAGATTGTTATCTGATAATAGGTGACTTGAATCAAGTTAAGCTGTGAAAAAAAAAAAAAAGTAAGACTGTCAACCGAGAATAAATAAATACTGGTGCAAATATTCTAATTCTGCAGTGATATATCAAGGAGTAAATTCCCCTGGACAACCAATCTTCCTGGCGGGGCAGCAACAGGTTTTATAAGTTCATATCCCACTGGATATTTCTTCTTTCCATTCCATTCCTCTTACATGAAATCGCACTTTGCATGTAAAGCTTGTCTTTCTCATTTGCTTTTAAATGTATTTCTTAGCAGCTCATGGCATACAGTGGTTATGCCATGAACAAGGAAGGCAAAATTATTCAAGGATATTAGGTAATATAGGAATAAGTGTTGTCAGAAAACTAAGGACCATACCACAGGTTCCCATAAATAAAGCCAGAAAGCCACATTTGAAGATGACCTCATTTTAGATATAAGGTTACCAAAATTTGGGAATCATTTGGCATTTCTTTAATATTTTCAAGTGTAGAGAGAGATGTTCTTCCTTTAAGATAGCTTCCAGTGTGGGTTCGTTAGATTCACGTTGAAGTTCAGAAAATTGAACATTTTTCCATTGCTAAGTTGTAGAAAAATTGTTCTGGGCATTTTTGATGGGGAGAGGACACAGATAAAAAACTATTTGGACTGGTTGAATCCAATATCTGGAAACTTTCATATTTAAGATTTTCCAATGAAAAATTCTCTAGTAGAATGTCTGTAACCCATCTATCCGTTGAACATTTTGGATAATTTCGTGGGACCAAGATTATTTCATATATTCATGAATTTAAAAGGAAAGAATATTCTAGGCTCCATTACTAAATGTATTAAGCGATAAATGAGTCCTACAGTATATGTATGATTGATCCCCTATTTGGAAGAGCAAATTAAGAGGTTCTCTGGGGCTAGGTGAACAACCTGATGTAAACTCTGATGACATAGACCCATGCCTGAGTTTACAATGTTTGCTCTCTGAATTTCTAGAGATAACATCAACTTTCGAAAGAGGAAAGAATTAGGACTCTTTCTTTAAAAGTTTTGTAGATTGCACATATAGTCACTTTCTAGCCTGTTTTTTTAAGCCTTGTCTTTAGTTAGATCAGTCATATATAGTCAGTTCAGAATACAATATTCTAGAATAGTCTAATTTCTATATCCACTTGATAATTTTGCCTTTTAGAATTTCAACATATATATATGTATACTAATGCTTTGTTGATTGTCCATGTTTTTCTGTTGCTGAAAAACACAATATATATATGTTGTAGGGGGGTTTCTTTAGCTAATGGTTTGGAAACTGTTACCATAATTATTCACTTTACAGTCGAATTGGCTTTGCCACCTGTTCAGGCAAAGTGGTTGTGCATATTAATAAATGTTTTACCTATTAATGATCCTTTTGAAGTGACTGGATCCCAGCCCTTCATTCCATGCGCTTCTATTTTCCTGTACTTTTCACCTGACTAAGGATTAATGAAATCACCTCATCATAATTGTGACCATAATTTCATCCAAGTACTCAACTTTGGTTTTAGCATTTTATTAATGCTTACAACATGTCTCTCTCTCTCTCTCTCTCTCTCTCTCTCTCTCTCTCTCTCTCTCT